ATTTCTATGTTTTTACATCGTTGCCACTAAACTTCATATTTTATTTATAATTTATTTCAAGCATTTCATTAACTGTCATAATTGTAATTAATATACTCCCTATTAATAGCATATCAATCACCCCATTTCTTATAGTTGTCATTCCCTCTCACATCTCGCCCCCTAAAATTGCAAACAAAAAAAAATCTGTAAATTACATATCCAATAATGTACTTATGAAAATTATAATATAAATATATACATATAAAATATAGGTATCCAATAAATTACATATCCAATAATGTACCTATGAAAAATAGGTACATTATTAGAGGAAAAAAATAGGTAAGTTATTTGGAGAGAGAAAATAGGTTCATTTAAAAAAATTACTTTTAATAAAACAAATAATAGGTACTTTATTGTTTATTCAGAGAAAAAAGGCTATATTATTTATAGAAAAAAATAAATTACATTATTTAGATAAAAAATAGGTACATTATTTAGATAAATAATAGGTACTTTATTCGTAGTAGGTATATTATTCAAATGGTAGGTACATTGGATGACATATAATACCTAAATCCTAATTGTAAGTACATTAAAATTAATGTAGGTATATTGGATGTCGTATAATGTAGGTATATTGGAATAGATAATTATGTACACTTTTCATACAGGTAAATTATATTTTTCATAAAACAAACAAGTAATAGGTACATTATTTTTTCAACATAATTAGTATGTATAGTTTTATTCATAAACAATTATAAAGTGGATTATTAGTCATGTATAATTCATAAAAAGAAAATAACATAAACATTTTATTAAACAAACCGATTACCCAAATTTGAATTTATTGTTAAATTTTTTTAAAAAATGTTTCAAAATTAATTCCTACATCCATTACAACCATTTGGAGATCTTTCCAAATTCAACATCTGTCATTATATACAATTCAATTAAAAACTGTTTCCATATTGATTTCTACATTAATATACAAAATGCAATAATGGCTTAGTTGGGGGTATTTTTGGAATCTAAAAAGTACAATAAATCAGATTTTATGCTTAATTAGGTAACTTGCTGAGTTGAATCCTAGTCATGGGTTTTTACTTATACAAATTGGGTGTTATTTATATGAACAAAAAGTGAAGGGTTTTAGGTACGGCAAATTGAATTTGAAGGGTGTAAGCCAAATTTACTATTTAATTTATTCCAATCACACAAAGAAAGAATATTGAAGTTGTGAGAGCCTTTTCTTCCACTTAAAGTGGGGGCAAATTCAACCCGACACATTTAGCATCTCCTTTTTTCCATCAATTTTTGACATATGATCATCATTCAAGGAGTCAAGCAAAGCATGACATAATTATTGCTCTATAAATTCAAAAAAAAAAAGTCTAGTCTAGGCAAGAAGTTTAGTGTTGTAAAAAAAAGAAGGTAAAAAGGACTAGTGGCGGCTTGATTGATCGTTTCTTTTTGTTATTCTTCACATGTTTTCATTGTATTTTCAGAGAAAATGCGCATTTGGGTCAAAATAACTTTTATTTGGTGGCTAGAAAATAAATGGAAAGCGGTGATTTATTTGAAGACTCTGACACTCGACGACACATGTCCACCTTTCCTCTGTTGATCAGGAAGAAGAGGAAGAGAGAGCCGTGTAAATCATGAACAAGGTCTTCTGTTTCAGTTTGGCTTTAACCGGCTCATCTTTCTTTGTCATCTAAATCCTAATTACTATACTTTTAGTTTGCCTTTTACACTTTTGATATTGATGATCACCGTTAATATTATAATCCCTTTCTTAAAATTTACGCATCTTCAAGGATAAGAAATGCTCTTAATTGTTGTTCAATTTAGGATATGAAATTCCCTTTGATATAACATTTGCATAATCAGGTTCAAGCTAATTTGGTCCACCTAACTTGGTACCATTCAGAGAACTTTTTTCTCCTCAGCACCGCTTTACCCAACTCTAGTGAAAATTACCCTTGCCTTGGGGCTACAACACCGCTACAGTTCGCGTACATTGTCGAATTTGTGTAGAGCGACAGTCTATTTGTTCATGTTCATATGATATTACAGATTAGTCAGATTCTTTGGACTTCCTTATTGGGTTGCTTGTTTGTTGTTTATGTGCTCTCCCCGTTTTGGGGTGAGGTCTTGGAATGAAGTTTATCTTTTGACCAAAAAAAAAAAACATTTGCATAATTATGTATGAGAGGAAATGACTGAACCAAACCGGTTATTAACTAAATTGATCTGGTTGATCTGGTTCGGTTATACTACTAGTTAGAAGGTTAAACATAATCATAATGTTGCAATAGTTAAGTATGCAGTTTGATACCTAAAGCTAATCAAATCGGACTGTGTTTGCTGTCAATTTTTTTTTAGTACAAGCGATTGGGGAAAGGATTTACTCAAATCAATTTGAGATATAACATATAAGATAAATTCATATTAAACGCACAATTCAGATTGTCACCATGATATCTCAAACCATGTACAAGTGAATAGTTATTGTGCACATATACAAACTATTCAACACTCAAATCCTCACCCTTGAAATCGACAATGGCCCAAATCTCCCCTGAAGACACCATATCATGTCTTTTCTTTTCGTACAAGGCATGCCAATACCCTACAACCGTACGTACTAGGAGAGTGTATACACTAATAGCCTGAATTTGCAACAACACCATCATTGTACCTTTTAGGCTTTTCCTCTCCTACTTTCTACGCTCAATTACCAAAAACTTTGCGAGGGGGATCATCTATCTATTGCTTTTCCTTTTGACCTAATCTTCGTTGATAAAATAATCTCTTATTCAAAATGGTAAAGAAAAGCCAAGTCCATTAGCTTTTTTTAAGGACGAATGGGGCTTGCACTAAAACACACCAAAAGCCTAGTGATCTCTATCCATTTTAAAACAGAGGAGGGACCCAACCCAAGAGAGCCCAAGGGAGAGAAAAAGCTTTAAAATGAAGGTAAAGAAAAGAAAACCAGTGGGGCAAACGAGAGAGTGTTGAGCTTTTCCCAAAGGAACTTTTGGTTGGAATAATTTTTGCTTGATTGGCGCTTTATGTTTGTCTTGTCTTTAAACACACCATGCATCTCCTTTCTTTCATTCATTTCTCCCTTGGACTGTTGCTCTCCCTTGTATATATAATTCCACACACTCTCTCTCTCTCTCTCTCTCTCTTATTTTTTCTGTGATTTGGAACCTACTAATTGGGTTTTTTCTGCTAATTTTTCCTCTGTAGAAATGGAATATTGATATTGCAATAAGCAAAGATAATGGACACCATTTTGGACATTTTACAATTTTTCTTTTTTCTGCATATAAAAAAGAGTTGGTAAAACAAACAGTCTTTGGAACTTTGGAGTGTGGCCATTCCATTTCGTTCCATGTGAACTGCAATGTAATGTCCTCTCTCTCTCTCTCTCTCTCTCTCTGACTGACCAGTTTTGTACTACTTTATATTTTTGAAAAATAATTTGTGGAAAAGTTGGATGCTTTGGCTGTCAGTCAGGCACACGATGACTTTTGTCTGAAGGAGGAGCTATTACCTAGTAACCACACACGCTCAAGGTCACGCATATGGTGCTTGCTTGAAAGGGTTCAACACAGAAACGGTCAATTCCCTAGGATGCCCTCCCATTCCACATTTGTTTCCTTTTTAATGCACGAGTTTCAATCCACAAAAACTCTCCCCACCCTCTTTTGCTTTCTCTTTTTAATCTTTTACTCCTTTCTCATGTTTTAAAGAACTTTCCTATTGAGTGGGGCGATAACATATTAAATTTACACACATTACACGAATGTAATGATTCAAAACTAGAATCTTTTCTGCCTATCATTCACCTTGTTCTTGTTGGCCATGCTAATTTCTCATTTATAATTATACCCTTTTGGCCTTTTTAGTAATTAATTATATATGAATAATAATATGGCTATTGCTTGCTTGGTTTATACTTTATATCATTATTAGATTATTAAGATGTCATTAGCACAAAATGGGACATCAATGGCTCAATGACCCTCTGGCCTCTTCTGTAGCAAAAGTAAGAAAAAGGCTATGGCAAGTTCATGCTGCTCAGCAATCACTCAAAATTGAAAAAATAAAAAGAAAGAGAGAGAGGAGAGAGAGCACCTTCATTTCATATCATATCAGAGTGTGAGGAGGATAGAGAATGAAAAGGAAAATGACACCACAAGCTGCCAAATCTTTAGACAGCCTTTCTCTTATCATGCAAAAAACCCAGTATTATACCACCCCCTATTTCTCACTCTAGCCTCTACCAAACGAATATCTTCTATTTCTCGTGGACCCCACAACCCAAGCCAATTGCCCTTTTCCTTTTTAAATAATTGAATCCAAAAGTAGAATCCTTTTTCATATACTATATAGTATAATACACAATTGATGAATGCCCACTGTACTTTGTGAGTGAACTATACACAGTAGAGAGAGCGTCTCTGCATAAATCGAGATCTCTCTCTCTCTCTCTCTCTCTCTCTCAGAGTCAGCTCACGGTTCATCCTTCCTTTTTCATCTGGATTATAAACCCATCAAATCATATCCACCATTTCTAGAGAAAGAAACTCTCCGTTTTATCAGAAACAGAGACAACCACAAAGAAAAGAAGAAAAGAAGAAAAGAGGAAAAGGAAAAAAACCGATCTTTCTTTCTGGGTGGGTTTCTACCATATATCTCACAGTTCTCAGTGCCATCACTGCTCAGTTGTTTTGGCTTTTGCTCTGTTTAGGTCGTGAGGAGACAGTGGGTGCCAGCAGCAGCCTTGCAGCCCTGAAAAGCAAAAACACAATGGCTGTCCTTTGAATATTTCAGAATCTCCTCCTTTTTCACCTTTACTATTTCATAATTTCAAAAAGAAGCATAAAGCTCTCTCCTTTCTCAAACAAAAACAAAATCAGATATCAAAGTCCTTATCTTTCCCTCACTTTCGTCCTGCTCATCATCATTTTCCTCAGAAACAAACACAACTTCACCCCAAAATGCCATCATTTCCAACCTCCACCACTTTCACCTTCTTCCTTCTCTTGTTAATATCCAGCTTTAACATTACCCTCGCCGGTTTACTTGCTCAACCGATAACCGGTCACCCCCAGCCACTCAAACCGGGCGAGTACTCCAGCCCCAACACCGTCCCGGCCCTCCCGGCCCAAACCCCAACCCAAACCTGCCACCTCGACCTCTCCAATGAGCTCTTCGGCGGCGTCAGCCAAGCATGCGGCCGAGACCTTGACCGCAGCCGATGCTGCCCTGTCCTAGCCGCCTGGCTCTTCGCTGCCCATGCCAGGTCAGCTCTCGAGCTCCCCTCATCGGCTCCGGCTCCTTCCGCCGGCCTCGACCAGCCGATGATGCCAGACGACTCGCAGAAGTGCGTCAATTCCCTGCAGTCCTCGCTCGTGAGCCGAAACATCCGGATTCCTCAGCCGAACGCCAGCTGCGACGCCGTTTTGTGCTTCTGCGGCATCCGGCTCCATCAGATCGGCTCCCTCAGCTGCCCCGCCGCTTTTAACGTGTCGCTAGGGTTTCACAATGCCACCCCCACGGCCGCCGTCAAGAACTTGGAGAAGAACTGCCGCAACTCTTCGTATTCTGGCTGCACCAAGTGCCTCGGCGCTCTCCAGAAGGTCAGTTTCGTCTTTCCACAATTCTATAACATATTTTGTTTTGTTTGACCGGAATGCCGACTTACTTGACTGGTAATTACTAATTGCAGCTCAAGGGTGGGAGCAAGAACGGAACGGCGGGGGACAAGTCCACGAGCGACAGAGCGAGCAAGATGTTCAACAGGGACTGCCAGCTCATGGGGCTGACGTGGCTGCTGGCCCGGAACAAAACGGCGTACATACCCACTGTTTCGGCGGTGCTGCGGGCCATAATGTACAGTGCGCACCCACCGCACGAGTCCACGTGTAGCCCGGACCAGGAGAACATGCCGCTGGCCGTGGATTCACTGCAGTTCGATAAGGCGCAAGCGCCCGCATCGTCACCGTCCATTTTGTTGTTTCCGATTCTGCCCCTGATCATTTTGGTGTCTCTGTTTGTTTAGGGTGAGAGAGAGGGGATCAAGATTCGAGTCTGGGTTTTTGCCCAATTTTTTTGGTAATTCCTGTCGTGTCGGGTCACGTGATGCTAGTAGACAAACGGGGCTGTTGGGTTGTTTTGTCATTTTGCCCACCGTAAATTTCAGCTCATAGTAAGTACAGCAGGGAAGGTCTTACTTTTACTAATTCAAATTTCTTTACATTTTCATTTTTAGAAAGCAATATCCTAAATTACTCTAATGTACTGAAAAGGGATTGGCGCATCAGGGTGCAATGGGACGGACACACTGTCTTAACCAACTGAATTATTCAGCTGGGCAAAAAATGGGAACACTGCCTGCTTGGTACTATAATGAGTTGGTCCTCAAGTGACTGGCTTGTAAGTTTGGATTGTTCCATGAAAGACTGGGTCAATGGGTAAGAATAGTAAAGGCAATTTGAGGTTTGAGACATTCTCTATCTGATTATTTATTTATGGTGCTGAAAATTTGTGGGAGTGCATTAATGGTAAATGATTTGGAATTAAGAAGCAAGGAGGGGCTGGAGAATTAAAGAAATGTGGAGGTGGTACCCAAAGCTCATTAATGACGATTTCTGTTGGGGGTGTTTAGAAAGCTACACAGAAAGATAGAAAATAGCATTAGCAACTCCCCATGACTGAGTATGTTGGTCGCATAGAAACGCAAAACTGGGACACGAGATGCTAAGAATTTTTGGATTATAAAACCCAAACACATTGTTATGTGAAGATTAGATTAATTAAATAAAGTTTTAATTAGGTAGTTTTACATCTTCTAGGGAGCGAATTGCGGATGAATTATTGTCGTCACGTAGCCCGGCTTGGATAAATGTTTCATTTCGTGCACATCAATTTTTTGTTGGTAGCGATTTTGACACTCCTCTTTTGAACGAGGTTTTTTTTTTGGTGTGGTCCATCGGCCTGTATAACTCCATAACCTTTGGGCAAAATAATTTTGACTTCAGCATGTCCAATTTCTCAGCCTCTACGCTGGTATCTAATGGCACAGTCTGGAGTCTAAATTTGAATGGGCATTTAGGCTGCATTTGTTTTGTGGGATAGAAAATGTTTTCCCCCAAAAAATACAATGCAGAAGCATAGAATTAGTTCAAATGCTTCCTAAATGTTCTTGTGAAATAAAATAAAATAAATACTGAAAAACCAAATATTTACTTCTACCATTTAATAATGAATCACCAAAAAACAGAATCCAGTCTTACTGTGACAAATTGGAACAACCTTCAAGTCAGTTAAATCAAATTTTTACCAGCCCTTGCCTATAAGCCACAACCAATCAAGTGTTACACCTGCAAATATACCTACCAGCAGGAACACAACCAGCAAGTTTCCTAAAGCATTTTGCTCTGGCCCCTGCAAAACCCAAATTCTGATCAATCTTACTTCTTTAACTAAACAAACTGTTAAACTTTTCAAGTATAAAATGCAGTGTACAAACCTTGTAACCTTTGGGTGCTGAAGTAAGCACACAGACTGTGAGGTAACCATTAGATAAACCCAAGAAGGATGTAAGCATTATCATCCAGCCTTGGTCACCATACTTGGCAGTGAAATAGAATGCCGGGACGAGCAAGAAACGAGAAAGAATCACAACCATGAGCCCTCTACGATTTTCCAACTTGAGGAATTTCACCAGCGGAATGTATCTCCCAATCAAATCAGACACATTGTACATTGCAATCAAAACCAGTGCATACCTGACATGTATAACTCCAGATTTTAGAACAAAATTCTTGTTGACACCAAGTAACGTTATGTTTAAGTACATACCATGTACCCAAGCTGTGTGATCCAGTGTCTTCGGATAAGAATCCAGGGAAAATTGACAAAGTGAGGGCATAGATTAGAAACATATCGAGTGCATAATCAATGTTTTGAAGCAGCAATTGTTTGTTCCCCAGCCGCTCTAGATCTCTCTGCTCTTCCTCATCCTGCATGAATTTGCATTGTTTTTTTCTTAGAACATTAGAAGATGAATGCGTTGGGGCATTATTTGAGCATATGTTGGAGCGAATGACATACTGCTTCAGGCAATGTTTGGATGCCACCAGCAGCAAGGTCAGCAGAAACAGTTTTTGATCCTTCTGAAGCGGCCTTTGAGCGATAGTACTTAACAACTGGTAGCTTCGGAAAGGCAAAAGCATAAAGAATCACGCAGAGAAGCTCAAAGATCGAAGAGATTGCAAAGAACAAAACTGCAGTGGAAAAAGAAAGCTAGTGCTTTAATGTAAGTTGAACATGCACATATATATGGTAGGCAAGACCATGCACAGATACAAAATATCAGAAGATTTAAGTTTATGATGGTCCTAAAGAAAACAGTAACATGTTCAACAACAAATATGAAAACTTGAGAACTGGAACCTACTAGCTCCCTTCCGAAGACCATTATGGGAATTCTCAAATGCTGCCTTTGTAATTAACCTCAAAGCAGAGGTTAGGGCTCCTGATGCAGCCAAACCAGCAAGGAAAGACTGAACAGTTCGAAACAAGAAAACTCATAAATTTATAACCAGGTCCATAAATTTCGACAACTTGAAGGAAAACGAAAATGAAACATAGAGCATGTAATTGTTATGCAAAACAAATACTGACTTGGATGAGTTCTCCTGACATGAAAGAGAGGTCTCCAACCATTCCTCCTTGCACATGAGCATCTGCAATTCCAAAGGCAGCACTAATGGCACAAATTCCAATAAAAGTTCCAAGGCCTCCTCTCCCAGATGTAGCTAAATCCAACTATGGCAGAATGAAGCACATTTTAGAGGCTTAATCATATGTTTCTCAATCGCAGTATTTGGTGATGTTAATTGAAGATTTAAATTGCACTTACAACTAGCACCAATAGAGAAGTTATGAAAAATAGGACATATCCAAATAGGTTTCTTTTCCTAGTATTCATCTTCGCCTCATGATATGACAAGATTATAATTGTTCCAAGCGCAAATGGCTGGTACACCAGAGTGAGGACCCTTGCGGGATGGTATCGCTGCACCAGGGGAAAAAAGAAAATTAAACTTCAACTGATGAGGCAATCCAATTCCAAATGCTACAACTGTCAAAACATATTGTCTACTTGCACATAACTCAAAGAAAATCTGAGAGTTAGGTACAATGCAGAAACTAGATATTGTAGTTTCTGAATCGAAATCATATCGGATAGGACAGTTACCGGGAACAAGTCAACATAGTAATCTTCTATTGTAAGCATACTGTTCCATGAAAAGAGGCATCCATTTCCCAGAAGCCAGCACACCACCATTGCAGCATACTTCCCCTATAATTGAGAACAAATGCATATCAGAAACTGGTTCAACATATAGATTTGCTCTAATTGCAAGTTCATTCTAGTTTAAAGGAAACAAAAGAAGCACTACAAACCTCAAGCTTTGGTGGGGGTCCATTTACATCAGGGCTTCCCATGATTGCCTCTGTTCAACCAGCTCCCCTACAAGTTATGATGTTATGGCAAATCATTCGGTTTATTGACTACATAAAATAAGCCACTAACATCAAATCTTAGTGTGAATCTGCCGCTAAATGCAATAAATTATAGTCAACCTAGAATGAACTAGAATGAAAAAAAAATTTCGTGCAAAAAAAAAAATTTCGTATACATTTGTTCTCAATTATAGGGGAAGTATACATTCATCTCCCTTCAAAAAATTTCGTCCAAAAAAAAAAATTTCTCCCTTCAAATTCTTGCTTGCACAGCAACCAGAACATTGTGTACTAGGTTCAACCAGTGAAGGCTTTACACATTTAAGTGAGCATTGGTCCAACCCTTATCTACAATGCAAACGTAAAATTTGAATTCTAGCCTCTTCTTCCCCTAAAGTTTCATTACAAGTAAGAACAAATATGAGAAGTCCTCCCCAACCAACTCCAAAAATTTCATTTTTATTATGCAAGAAGCAACAAAAACATTAATCTAAACCAGCCCATTATAGATTTATGAATGCAACCAGGCAAGCACCTTTGACTTTTATTCACCACTCTCTCTATGTCACATGAGAGAGAGAGAGAGAGAGAGAGAGAGAGAAACAGGGGTAGAAACAGAGCAGATAAACACGCAAAATCAAATCTTTATCCACAAAGGAGAAATGAAAACTTACTCTTTGTAGAAGGTGGGTGGGATGGATAAGTATGTCAGACTGAGAAAAGAGACTCTTCGATTCTTCTGAATCTTTTCCCAGAATCTGAATCTTCTGCTCCCTCTTTTATATGGTATTTTACAGCAATGGGAACAGAACACCCTTTTCAACAAAATACTACCCCAAAAAAGGTGAAAACTTTTAGGCGTCTGCTGTGAAAATCCAGAGTGGCAGTGATGACGTCTGTGGGGAGAAGAGGAGAAGATTTGGTATTGGAATGAAAATTATTAATTCGGAAGTGTTTTGAGTTTGAGGAGGACGTTAACGAGGAGGAGACAGTTGTTGGGTTTTCTTTCCATGAAAAAGACAAGGAGGAGTGAAAGTCTAAAAGAGGACGTTTTCTGTGTTCACATTTTAGAGGCGTTGACGCTGCCGTCACGGCGCCTATTACTCATCATCACTTTCACATTGGTACTCTAATTTTAATAACATTTTTTTAGGAAAACATTATTATTATTATTATTATTATTATTATTATTATGTGATTTTATGATGTAACATAACATGTCATTTGTTGTAACATAACTCATTCGAGCCTCTGCCTTCACATATATATATATATATATATATTTGTTAATGAGGAGAGGAGAATTTGAATTTGAGAGCTGTTTCAATAATAAAAAGAGAAGTATATGCATTTGGCTGAGGATTTCTATGAGAAATTAATAAAAGAAGATGAAGAAAAGAAAGAAAGTAAAGAGAAGATGGAAAGAAAAAAAACAGAGGAGAAGACATTAGCCAAATTATCAAATTAAGCCCTCAATACCAACCAATTAACGAAGTCAATGAATACAATTGAAGAAATCTGGAATTAAATATGATAATTAATGGCAATATCTTACCCGTTTTAAATGATAGGGCAAATAAGAACAAACAATTAAACAAATACATAAATATGAGTATAATTTTATATGGCAAAATAGTCAAACGACTTAGATAGACAAACAAGAATCTGTGGACTACACCCAACTTGAGGTTGAGTTTTCGAACCTAGTTTAGAAGGAGGAGGAGGAGGAGGTGCCATTGAGGTTTGAAATTAAGACGACTGATGTGCAAGCAAATGCTCTTACCATTGAGCTATATATAATATATGGACCCATTATTTAGTTTATCTTTAATTTTCTGTGTTGTTTCTTATTGAGGTGGTGTTGTTTAATGGCTCCATTGAATCAATTTGAGGTTATAGAACCGCTACTTATAGATTATAGTCAGCAACCCAAAAGCCCATATATATATTGAAATTGATACTTAGGTGATGAAGAATAAATTTAAATGCTATTCAAGTAGACACAATAATCTTCACACACTTTAATCATTGACCAAATATACTTATGACTAGTCAACTGCTAGTCATGAGAAACCATAACGAAGAACACACACAGAGGGCATAACAATATATACCTGCAAGCCTAGAAGATTACTAGTGACAACTTCGGCACTCAGAAGGACCTATCAATCTAAGCATCCCCTGTGCTAGCAACAACTATGGTGAAAGTGTGTGAAAACATCATAATCAAATAAACAGCACACAACAGATAGTGATGACTAGTAAACCGCAATAACACAATATGAAAAATATGAAGGTTCACTCTTGAGGAAGAAGAAGAGAAAGTTCTCTAAGAAACTTTCCAAAACTCACCCACAAAAGAGATAGTTGCCAAATGAGGAATTCTTTGGCTTTTACCCAAAAATTCCTAGGTCAGAATAGACACATGGCAGCTGAGAAATTGGCAGAAAATGACTATAAAAAAAAAGGTTAGGACTCAGTTGGAAACAGTGAGTTGGAAATCCTAATTGAAACAAAGGTTGACTAGTCATACGAAGGAAAGATGACTAGTCATAATCTTCAGAAATTTAGTGAATGCAATCTAGTGCAATGCAGAATTTACCTTTGTCAAACACATTGTTTTCCATCAGAATGTAGCCAGATAAGAACACCTAGATAAGTAATTCTTAATCTAAACTTATAGCTTTGAGAAATTACAATGATTGTCCTATTACAATATTGTCAAGGGAAGCCAAAAGAAAATCACAAAATGCATACACTTACACACACACACATATATATATATATATATATATTCCATTTCCTCCAGCAACCCAAGTATTCTCTTGTCCACTTTCTATGCTCTAACACAAAGGAGGGTTTAGCCCCAAACTTTACATCCTAAGTACTTGTCTTTTTAAATGCACTTAAGATGTAAAGTTTTAGGTATGTTTTTGAAGATAGCTGATGTACAAATGGTTCCAAATGCATACAGACTACAGTTGCCTCCTACATAATTACACACGGTTGCTTGCAATAATGTCCATCGACCCAACTCACCCCCATATCCAATATGATGGGCTAGCTAGCTACCAACTCTATTCTTTAAACCTTTTTGTTGTTACTATGAATTGCATATTCTCCATTCATCTCATTTTGAAGATAAACTTGAATTTTTATACATATATTTTCTGACTTCAGCCAGTCACTCAAGTCATCGACCTCCCTGTTTATTTCATGCATGCAACCAATACGACTAATGTGGCAGTGATGCACCAAAAAGAAAAAAGTGAACAGACTTGTAACTAAGTCAACTGCAAATGTCAATATCCGATACGAGCTCTAACTCCTCGATTTAATAAAGGTTTAATGAGAACAATGTGGGAGTTCAAAATATTTTTTAAAATATTAAATTTTTAATAAATCAAATTTAATTATTAGAAAATTTTCAATTTATAAATCCTCCTTTTTCTCTAATAATTAAATTTGATTTATTTTTAAATTAATGAAACTAACGGAATTGAAAACTTGACATGATTTGCTAAGAGTTGCAAATACAGTGATCTTGGAAAATTGAAAGTAAATTTGACCCTAATCCGAGTGACTAAAATTATAATTACCCCAAAAACATATATTCATACGTAATATTTCCTTCTCTTACATCAAAACTCCAAACCACCAAAATTTCTCTTTATAAATAACCCCCTAACCCTCAACCCTTCCTCACTCATGCATATATATATACTCAAACCTCGCTCTCCTCCTCCTAGCTTTATCTATCTTCTTCTTCACACAAACATTTTGACATTTTGATCAAAATGGGAAGCTTAGACTTGAACTTTACAGATTCTTCCTTGTCCCAAACCGACGTCTTCAAACCCTTAGACCCTGAAGACTTCCGCAAACAAGCTCACCAAATGGTCGACTTCATTGCCGACTATTACGCCAAGATCGAATCCTACCCTGTCCTCACCCAAGTCCAGCCCAACTACCTCCGCTCCCGCCTGCCCTCCACCGCCCCATACCTCCCCGAACCCCTGCAAACTATCTTCCACGACATCTCGGCCCACGTGATCCCAGGCATCACTCACTGGCTCAGCCCTAACTTCTTCGCATTCTTCCCCGCCACCGTCAGCACCGCCGCCTTCTTAGGCGAAATGCTGTGCACTTGCTTCAACGCCGTCGGGTTCAACTGGCTCGCCTCACCCGCCGCCACCGAGCTCGAGATGGTCGTCATGGACTGGCTGGCCCACATGCTCAAGCTTCCCGCGTCCTTCATGTTTTCATCGGGCACTGCTGGAGGTGGCGGTGGTGGTGTCATTCAAAACACCACCAGCGAAGCCATCTTTGTAACTCTCGTTGCAGCCCGAGACCGGAAGCTTGAGGCTTTGGGAACAAACGACGTGAAAAAGCTCGTCGTTTATTCTTCTGATCAGACCCATTCCACGTTCACCAAGGCCTCCAGGCTCGCCGGGATATGTCCTTCCAATGTAAGGTCTATCCCCACCAGCCGGGACTCCGATTTCGCTTTGTCTCCCGAGTTACTTCGTAAGGTGGTGGAGGCAGACGTGGAATCCGGGCTGGTCCCGCTTTACCTTTGTTTAACAGTGGGGACAACTTCAACCACGGCCGTCGATCCCCTCGAGCCGCTTGCCGGCGTGGCAAACGATTACAACATGTGGGTCCATGTGGACGCTGCTTACGGTGGAAGTGCCTGTATTTGTCCCGAGTTTAGGCATTATTTGAACGGGGTGGAGCGAGTCGACTCACTGAGTCTGAGCCCGCACAAGTGGCTGCTCAGTTACTTGGACTGCTGCTGCCTCTGGGTCAAGCGGTCGGATTTGTTGGTCAACGCGTTGAGCACCAACCCGGAGTATTTGAGAAACCAACCCAGTGAGTCTGACTCAGTGGTGGACTACAAGGACTGGCAACTGGGCACTGGACGTAGGTTCAAGTCACTTAGATTATGGCTCGTGCTGCGTAGCTATGGCGTCGCTAATATCCAGAGCCACATCCGGTCCGATGTTCGGATGGCTAGAATGTTCGAAGGGTTCGTAAAATCCGACCTAAGGTTCGAGGTTGTGGTGCCCAGAAAGTTTGCGTTGGTTTGTTTTCGGCTCAAGTCATTTTATCTGGCCGAGCCGAGTTATGTTGACTCGCTGAACCGGAAGCTACTCGAGTGGGTGAACTCAACGGGTCGTGCTTATATGAGCCACACTGTAGTCGGTGGGGTATACATGTTGAGGTTTGCGGTGGGGGCCACGCTAACGGAGGAGAGGCACGTTGTTGCCGCGTGGCAGTTGATCAAGGATGGAGCTGATGCAGTTCTCAAGGTCAAGGGCGTATGATATGGATCAGTGAATGTGGGCCAAAATAAACAAGTATACAATCCAAGCTGTGGCTTTGTGATGTATGGGGACATAAATTTGATTGTTGGGGTTCATGTTGGTTGTGTCACTTCATTTAATTGGTATAAACTCTTGTACAAAAATAAAAATTATGCTAATTTGTGAAAATGTGGAATAAGTTGCACAATGTAATAATATTCTCTTGTTGGCAAACTATTTGTGGGATTTGCGTCTATTTTTTTGTTTTTTCTTTAAACTTAGAACATGCTTTGTATGTCCGTATTACTCTATAATTTCTCAAAAAACTACCAGTATACATGGGTTTAAAAAATCAAACATATTTTTGCAAAAGCCACTAGTTTATACATAAGAAGACAAGATGAGATGATGGCAGATTCCAAAAAATTAGGTCCTCCTTGCATATTATATGCTTCAAATTTTAACAAAGATGAACCTTATGATACAAGTTGTTTATGAAGGAAGCAAAATGTAGTAGCGAAACATTTCAAATTACATTATATAATACGGGAGGGTTGCTTTGTGATTTTTAAGACCACCATGGAGCGTCGCCGGTTCTGAAATCTGTTTCAACCCATGGAACAAACACCACCTTCCCTTCATCAATGTCAGCATGAGCCAACGCCAGAGACTGTTCCAGCAAGTCAAATTGAAACATTGGTTATTACAGATAGAACGAGATGAAGAAACAGACTAACCAATATGTATTATGCAGCATTTGATGGCCTAACAATTATGGGAAAAGTTGGGAGAGAAAATTGTTGCATGATCCTTCACTTTGACAGAGTTTATGAATGCAGATTGTAGAAGCTAGAAACCGGTATCGATAAACCATAAAGAAAAAGAAATTGGCAAGAGTTGATAGAAGTCTAAATTAACTCACCAAGGGTGCAGGTCCTCTGACAACCTTTCCTTGTTCATTGTACTGGGATCCATGGCAGGGGCATATGAACTTGTTCTCTGCCGTGTTAAATGGCACCACACAACCAAGGTGAGTGCAGACAGCGTTGATTCCATATGTGGCAAGACTTCGGTCTTTCTCCACAACAAGGTATGTAGGATCACCCTGATAATAAACAAAGAATCAAAATTAGTTTACCTTGTAAAAGTATGCATACTTCCCCAATTTCTTAATCTGATTTTGGGAATGTTTTAGCACAACATGGAAATATATCATAAGCCCATAATGCTGCTGCTGGTATTGCAAATCAGGCTTGAACTTTTCGTATAAATTGAAACGGGTAGATGAAACCAGACGGAACACGTTTGTAGTTCGTTAGTAAGATGTATCAATACCTTCAATCCTTGTGTGAGAGTCCTGTCACCTGGACCATGAGTCTTAAGCCATTCAGATGCAATCACGTCATTTCCAAGAGCATCCTTGGCAACTTGACCACCAGCGCCACTCCCGGAGCTATAATTGTTCTCCAATCAATCAAAATAACCATGTCAATGAGCAAACGATACACAATTTCAAGCCAAAAAAAAGGATTTTGCTAGTAGAAATAGCAGTGAAGTAATAAACTTTTCCATCATGGTATCAAGAGACCTTGTTGGACTCTTTAGTAGTAAATATTTGAGATAGGCCATTCACTACCTTAAATTAACTTTTTTCTATTTAAATATTTCATTTTCATTACACTTTCAGAACAATCCGATTTCTTGATTGTTCTGATTGAGGTTATGCAGCGCTAACTTTACATCAGCGGGCCAAGCAATGAGACTAACAGCTTATGCAAAGTAAATCAAGGTAAAAATTGATGAATTTTTCAAGTGAATATTTTTCCCTAAGCTACATTGGGTTAATGAGTTCAATATTTACATGATATATAGTAATCCCATTTCAGTGAACTACCCAATAACAAACACAAAATCAATCACCAATCAACAAAATACATACATGAAGATGAAAGAAAAAGGTAAGAAACTGGAAATTAGGAAAAGGGTAGGTGTACTCACCCAGGTGGGACAAAGAAAGTGGCATAAGGAACCAACATGAAGCCACTGGGAAGAGAGATGGCACCCAGAAGAAGCAGGTTCATAAGCTTCCTCTTGCCCATGTCTGGCACGCGATCAGCCGCAATACTTGATGCCTGGCAAGTGACTCTCATTCCCTTTCCCTTTCCCACCATCTGGGTCCTCCTGGGTTTCACAGCAAGGGCTTGTGCTGATGAGAACATTGCACTCTTGCTTGAGCATAGCTGAAAAGAAAATTCAAACCCATTTATGACATAATTATTATAGCTCAACTCTCCAAACCCACATCAGGAAATTCAAGTTGGTTTAGTTTGAGTTACCTGTGAAGTGGTAGCAGGAGATAGAGTAGAGGAAGCCATGGTTTGATATTATTCTCTTGGAGATGATACTGTTATAGCTTCTTCTTTCTCTGGTTTTGGTGTAGTTGAAATTTGGTTTTGTAACGACCACAGCCGCTAGTGGATAAGGCGCATAGCCAAAAGGGCGCCACATTACCACATGTTCTAGATCAAAGATTTTTCTTTCCCTCTTCTATACTAGAAACTTTGTAAGGAAAAAAAAAGGTTTAACTATTATTTTAATAAACAATAAAAATTGCCGACGGAGTTTAGCTAGTGAAAAAGAACATTGAATAACTGATCAAAGGTCTAAGGTTCGACCTCCAATAACATCATAGTTATGTGTTTGTGAGAAATCTCATTCTCGTGTATAGTTTAGACTATTGGTTGTACTAAAAAAAATGAACAATCAAAATAATAACATGGATGGGCTGGGATACCTAAGACTGTGATGGGAATTTGCCAACAAAGCTTGTTATTTGTAGAAATGGGCCATTGTGGTGATCTTGGTTTTGGAAATTGGGCTTAACATTTTTGTTGGTATGAAAGTTGAAACAATTTGTATGATGTCCATTTTTCATTCTTTTTGTGATGTACGTGAAACATGTTTGTTTGGTAGGGACTTGGTCAGCACTACCAGAAAAAGGGTTTTTCTTCTGAAAATGGAAACTGGGACAAGTGATAATGCTTGGTGATCACTATTTCATGATTTCACATGAACCAAAAGTCAAACGCAATAGACAATTCAGCACATCGCTTTTTTTTCTCACTTAGAAACCCAACTTTTGACAGTAAAGTAAGAGCAATAACCAATTGTCTGCACTTCCACTTCAAATATAATTGGGTTATGCTTCTTTATCCTAGTTTATTGCACCCAAGTTTTGACATTCCCAGCTTTTCTCTCCCCCTTGCAAATTATCTTATCAGCCTAGCTAGCCTCATGGGGGAACAATTTGGTACCTTATTTGGACTATAGCTGTTATAGCCTGTTCAAAATAAAGAGTGTGTATGAACAAGGGTGTCCTCTTGGTCACTATATAGGAGTAGGACCATGAATTTTAGGGGACAACTATTTACCTTAGCCATCGGTGGACCAAAATTCAATGGTTGCCATTTAAGTTTGATACATTTTAAAATATTGACCATTGAATTTTGATCAACCCATAATTAACTACGGTAATTTGTTCGGCAAAAATGAATTACAATCTTAAATTTTTGTTTTCCTTCCGTGAACTCTGTGTGTGTGTGTGTATGTGTGAGATAAACAGATTTTATCTATCCCAAGCTGTTTTTGTGGTAGCTAGGAATTCGCATGCAGTATGCTGCTATTGAATTCTCCAGAGAACATAAATAATTGAGTATAGCTAGGTTTTCACTTTTGTCCCAAAGTACGTAGAACAAGGCCCACTTCCCTGTCTCCGCCATGAATTTGCAAGGGCAAATGATGAGAGAGAGAGAGAGAGAGAGAGAGAGAGAGAGAGAGTGAATGAATGAATGATGATGTTATCTGCATGGGGGTATGGCGTGAAATATGCACTCATCATGTGCTTCCATCAGTCTCCCTTTGTCTCTCTCACTCACTCTGCCTTCTCACAATATCACTCCCAAAGCGTGCAATCTCTATCCACCTCTTCACTCTCTGCCACCCTCATCCTTTGGCAAATCAAAACTCTTCCATTAACAACCTAATTAATTAATTAATTAATTAATTAATCTTCCTTAATTTTATATATATCTCATCCATATATACATATATAGAGGAGAGGGAAAGTAAAAGGGACTGTGCATATATTTGTGTTCCAAAGACTATTAGAGAAAGAAAGAGAGGAATTGTATTCTTTGGGTTTCTTTCTTTTTGCTTTCTCTTGCACCAATGTTTGAGGAGAACGAAAGAGAACCTATTGTTTTCGTCAAAGATGAAGACACCCAACAACAACAAAGAAAGTAAAAGAAAGTAGGAAGAAAGAAAAAAATTTATATTATATATATACAAGGTACCCATATCAATGATTAAAAGTAGGGGATCGAGATGGAGCAAGCTTGAAGCAACCCCCAAAAAAAATGGAACGTTCTTCAAAGCAAATTAAGCATTTCAATTTAAGTGATAACACACACAAAATTAAAGCTTCTTTGTCTCCCAACTTACATTAATGGTAAAATACGATAACCTTAGATTCTTAGAAGTTGAAATAGAGTATGAATGGTACAATATGATGCCATTACCATATAAGTTACAAGCACTGAAAGCCAATGAGCACCCAAATGCGGCTAGAAACCAAATTCAAAGAAATTATTATGTCAAAACAACGAAAAGGATTAATCAAATTTCAAAGGACACATTTGGACCCAAAAGGAAATATATTCAAAGGGCATTCCGTGCATAATAATTGAATGGCATGATCTATAATTATGTGTTAGATTATGATGAATTGCCACACATTGTTTCTTTCTCTTCTTCTTATTTTATTTTATTTTATTTCTTTTCACTTAAGCACATTGCTAATGACATATGCCAAACCATCTTTATTTGGTTTTTATTTATTTATTTGCCAAGACTATGATGTCTTGATCACTATGTCAAGACCTAATAACTTCAAGTCGTCTATCAAGTATTAACTAGTTATTAATTTGGTTATATTTCTTTTCTTCACATTAAAAAGAGATTCCAAGTTTGAAAATCCCTAAAAAAATGGAAAATACTTACCTCCTTAAAGAGCTCCTACATTCCTGCCGATAGCATTGTGATATGTGTGCCTAAGTTTTTCTTTTTATATTTTTGATAAATTATTTTTGTATTTGTGAAAAACTGTAATTCACACGAATAAAGAGTATGCCCTTACAATTAACTATACAATCAGTATCCCCAAAACATTAGTCTACAAAGTCTCCATAACTAATAATTCTATTCTAACCATATAATGGAGGTGAATTAATTGGGATTTTTACTCTCTTTTTTAATGACATTTCTCTCTTTCTATACAAGAGCCATGTGGGTTTCCGGATCAAAAGTGATAGGTCAAAGTATTAATTGGATTGGCGAATAATTTCAAAAAAGTAGGTACATTTGAGAATGTGGGGGGCCTTTTCACTCCACAAGACCAGTCGTATGAATGTTTGGCTTTTTGAGTGTGAGACTTATCGTAGCTCTGTTCTCATTAGCATTTTGGTGGATCCATTGGGGAGGGGAGCGGGGGGAGGGAGAATAGACTATGGCCATCTATACAATCCATGCAGTAAAAAGGGACCTCGATTTCGGCTACTGCCATAGGAGGGGGGAGAGGGGGGGACATAAGATGCATATAAATAAAACCACACTTTTATTTAGAAAGTTCTTAATGATCGATGGTCCTCCTTTGTGTCTCTGTCTCTGTCGACAGTCATAATCAAATACTATTAGTGAACACCACCAATTTAATTAGTCTCACTCACCCCAGCCAAGGCCTAATTATACTAATTATTTATTTATTTGGTATAACAAATATAAAGCATGCACGATTATTGACAGGCATGTGTAATGTGAATATATGTGTGCATTTCTCTCGCACACATAAAATTATGATGCTATGGGATTTCGAACTTTAGACCTCTGGTCTGCAAATCAATTCCTTTTTAACTGGGCTAGACCCCGTTGACAATTTGAATGCATGTATAATTACTATTGGTGCATGTGTATGGTTGGTACTTACCATAATGTGCCTCTTCATTGGGTCGTGTATTGAGCACGTTCAGTTATGATACCTCATTTGAGTATTATTGGACAAAACTTAACTGCTAAGCGGTGAAGGAAAGTAGCACTTAGCACTTACAAGTTACAACACGCACCCATGATAATATGATATGTTGTTAGTTGAACTAGTTATGACATATGGGTCATTGACTTCAATTGAATCAAACCCCACCATGATTAAAATTTAATTATATACATTCTCAGCGGTGATCATGCACGTTATGATGCAGTGGGAGAGTATGACCATGTAAGTACTAAAATATTTGTCCTCTTATTAGTCTTTTTCTACTTGTAAGAAAGAATGGAGACTCATTCAATTTGGGACATATGCTCGAGCTGTCACTCTGCCATAGCCATGAAAAGACTGAATTATATTGTTTCTGACTTTGTGTTTGGGGATCCATCCATCCATCCCCATCTTAATAAAGACTTTCACAACTGGAGTGGTTACATAGTTTGGTGTAAAGCGGCAACGTTTCAAACCTCCTTCTTGTTTCCTTGGTTGACTAATTTATCCTTGGTTTTTCATTTCGACGACCTATGAGGATATAAAACTCTTATAAATATTATTCTTCCTACTTCCTAGTTGCCTCTCTGTCTATCAATATGGGCAAATTTAAACACAATCCCCTACAACTGTGCTAATGAAATACATGGAAGAAGAGGGTGGGGAGAGTAGATGAAGAGGTTGAAACAACATTATTTTATTTCTAGACCTATGTTAGGGGTTTTTTTTCAATGCTTAGATTTCCTCCATTGAATAGTCATAGAAGGCTGGATCATACGCATATCAAGGAAGAAAATCATGAGCGATTTTTAATCTTACGATTTTCTCCCTTCATTCATATGTGCTCATATCATACCTAATTGTGATGTTATTATATAAACAATATACCTTATTGTGCATTCCATAAAAAATACTAAATTAGATTCCAATGTTCGTATTTTATTTTCATATATGTACATAAGAAATTAACAGTATTACCATTAACAGATTGTTAAACATAAGAAATGTTAAAAGACCTACATTTAAAACAAAAAATGTGAGGACTAAACCCAATGACAGCTAATCATTCTAAACCTAGATTTAAGAACCCCTATTTTAAAATACATAAACGTGGTTGAAAGGGTGGATTGGCTCAAATAGCAAAACGTCAAAGACCAATAAATTAGAAAAGAAAAAAAAACCCCAAGTTTTTACTCCAATCCAACCATTCCTGTGGTGTGAGGTCCACTCTAAACTCCTTTGAGCTGCAACCCATCTGATCAAAACCCTCTCATCCCAATTTTTCTTTCCCGATAGCATTGCCATATGTCAATGCAAATTGAAAAACACTATAAGAAGATAGAGTGAGAGTAATAGAGAGAGCTGTAAAGGAGTGAAGTCCAAACCTTACCCACACTCACTCACTGCAGCATACATACCCTTTTCTTTTCAGAAAACAAAAAACACCACCAAATTCTCTGCTTTTTTTTTTATCTTACCACTTGCTTTGCTTTGCTTTCAACAATGTCTTTCTTGCTCTGTCCTCAGACTCGCTGAAAACTTAACCAGACTCATCCATGGAGCTCGACCTTGAAAACCCACTTACAATCTCCCATGACATCCACTCTGATACACTCACTTCAATGTTTTCCCTTGAATCTGATCACATGCCATCAGAGACTTACTTTCAAACCCTTCAAGCTAGAGACCTTGACATCTCCATTCGAAGGGAAGCCATAGCTTCCATCTCACAGGTACTAATTCTCATGAGAAATGAGGAAAAAAAAACCCCTTAAATTTGCTCATGTTTGCCAATTCAAGAAACCAGAAACTGTTTTTGCTCACTTTATTTTCCTTTCACTTTGTGTTTCTTCTGACTTCTGAACTTGTTTTAATCTATGTTGTCATTGCAGCTTTGTTGTAACTATGATAACCTTTTGCAGTACCTTGCTGTCAATTATCTTGACCGGTTCTTGTCCTGCCAAGGAATGCTGGTAAAGAAACTCACACCATGGTGTTTGCTTCTTAAAAGATTAACAATTTGGAAGCATTTTTCTTGCTTTAGAAAACAAAAATTGTATTAATTAACAATTTGGGTTCTAAAAGAATGGATGGTTCTTTCCAAATGCCAACAAAAATGGCACATTAGAAATTGTTTCTCGGTTCAAGTCTTTTTTATGAGATTTAAAATGATGCTTGGTATAACAGCAACCAAAGCCATGGCTCATCAAGCTTCTTGCAATCTCCTGCGTTTCTTTAGCTGCCAAGATGAAGAAAGCAGATTTCTCTCTTGCTGATGTTCAGGTAAAACTAAACACTTTTATTAATTTTGTGTACTTTTTCATTCATGGTCTTAGATTTGATGAGTGTTTTGGTATGTATAGGGTGATGGAGGCATCATTTTCGACACGCAAACGATCCAAAGGATGGAAGTGCTGATTTTGGGAGCTCTAAAATGGCGAATGCGATCCATCACACCCTTCTCTTTCATTTCATTTTTCAATTCTCTGTTCAAACTAGAAGACCCACCATTGCTGCACGCTCTGAAAGCCAGAGCCGCCCAAATCATCTTCAAATCTCAAAAGGGTACTTCCATAAGATAAAAACTTCGCATGGAAATTTAACTCAGTTTCTGTTCAGGAATTAAATTTTCCACCTTGATGAACAGTGTTACCAAAACCTTCTGTTGTTTGCAGATGTTGAGCTTTTGGGGTTTAAGCCATCAATAATTGCTGCCTCTGCACTTCTCTCTGCTTCTCATGAATTATTCCCTATGCAATACCCCTGCTTTAAAAAAGCACTCTCCAACTGCTCATATGTAAATAAGGTAAAAGACCATTCTTTAATAAACACAATCTTGATCATTGTTGTATGAAAGTATGCCTCTTTACATGTCAACTAATAATTATGTTTTTTTTTCTTTTTCTTTTTCTGCAGGAAAACATGTTGCAATGCTACAGTGCAATGCAGGACATGGTGGCTGATGGATTTGATTCAGTGTTAGAGACGGTGTCTAGCTCAGTGACAGCAGCCAATGTGCTAGACCATAATTTTTTAAGCTCTGCAGAAAGTGGAAAGACTATCGTCACCGGCATGACCCCCTTAAGATTGGAGAGGGACATGAAGAGGAGAAAAATTAGTGAATATTGTAAAGATCACAGGGTCCAAATTTCTCAGATCCAAAACTGCTGAGACCAATCTTAGCTGTTTCCACAGGTTATCACTTCAATGGTCTCTCTGAGAGTGACACTAGCTTGTAGCTGCCCCAATAAAAAAAGAGAAAATGGTCAAGAAACAAATAGAGAAAGAAAAGAAGGAAAAAAAATCTGATGGGAGAGAGAGAGAGAGAGAAGCAGAAGAAGTTTTTCTCTCATGGATCATGGATGGACCAAACCAAACCAAACCAAACCAAACACTGTCAGTTACATTTTCTTTGGTGGGAGAAGAAATTAAAAGGAATTGTTCTCTCTTGTGTTTTCCTTAAGCTATCTTCTTTTTGTTTTCATTAGGAACCAAACAAAGACAAGAAGACATAATAAATAAACTTTGAATTGAATTTTTGTTCTTTCAATTCTGTATGTGTTGGTTTTTAGCTTTGTTAGTTTCTGGAGGATAAATAATAACCAGACAAACTCAATTCTGTATCTTGCTTGCAGTCGGCGCGGGAAAAATAGTTTTTGGATAAAATTACTCTTTTACCCCCCGTCACAGTGTGACTTTGGAAGAAGAAATTGATGGGTTCTTTCTTTGCTTAAACAGTTACCAATAAATTTGGACAGCTGCAAAAATTCTCTGTTTCTTTCTGAGTGTATGTTTTTCTTTCTGCTCTGAGATTATGAAGTAATTGAAGCATCGTTAGTTTCAGTTAAAATAAATCAAATCATGTGAGCCGTCTGATGGTCCCCATGGCCACCACTGATGAGATTTCTTAATCAAAGATATCTATCTGGCCCAACTTTGGAGATTTCTGTTTCTGTACCTGGAAGATGATGGCAACTGCACAGAGGAAATTGGGACCACAAAATACAAATTTATGAATTACCCCTAATTAATTATAGACTAAGATACCAGATTTATGACACAAACGAAGCGTAATCATTGTTTAAGCAAGGAGCATAGTTGCATTACACCAAAGGAATATAAAAACAAAAGACAAAAAGACAAAAAAAAAGACCCAGAGGAAGCAGTCTCTTTCTTGGTTTTGTTAATATGAAAAGAAAATTGCTACTCTTATTAAAATAATAATAATAAATTAGTAAGAGTAGCAATTTTCTTTACTTGAAGAGACAATGTAAATCTAGTTTTTGTTTTTGTTTTTTCAGTACAAGTGATAGTTTGAAATACAGGTAAGGGGGATTTTTTACACACACACAACTATAATGCCGTGGGAATTCGAATTTGAGACTTCTAGTATGCAAATCAAGACATTTTACCACTTGGCTAGATCCATTGGAAAATCTAGTTTGTTTTGAGTGATCTAGTCATATTTTTTATGGACTTTCCTCTACTAAACTTAATTATGAACCCTTTTAAGTTCGAATGAATGATTAAATATGAAGGCAGTGGGGTGAGTTCTGACATTAAGTAGTTGGCCTTCTGACCTGTTCTCCACAGATCAAAGGACCATTTTTGAACAATTCAAACTCACTGGTGAATTGATATTTTATATTCTATCAATATAATAAAAAGATTTATATAGAATAATAGAAGTACTTCTTTAAAATTCTGTTTCGAGTTTTGAGTTGGAAGAGAAGTGGGTGGAGGTGGTAATTGCAGTGTTTTAGGACAGAGATAGTACTGGGCCTGTTCTGATCTTATATCATCCTCTGGTCCATGGACCATGGCTGCAGAACACTTCTCTTTTCCTACTTTGGGAATTTGCATTTTGACTGTGAGCCACTCATTGTCAAATTCATAGAGGTGGAGATAATGGCATAATTAACACAGAGGAAAAATTGCTGCTTAATTTCCACAAGGATTAATCCCTGTTTCCTGGTGACTAATTTGTCATGAGTTATTAATTTGGCAATTTTGGCAGATGCATGATGGCAAATGTTGTTTAGTTGTTGGCAGATTGCTTATGCTTTACCAACTATGTTGTAGTTTATAAGAAAGAAATTAAGGGCCATGAGATGTTTGTTTTGTTTTACAAGCATGCCCAAGTTTTTTTAAATTCTTATATGGAAAATACTTCCCCCCATCCCATGTAAGTAGAAACTCCTACATTTTTGCCTATAAGTTTTTCTTTTTGTGTTTTTGATAAATTATTTTAGTATATATGTCAAACGGATTTGCAGAAGGTGAAAGTATCTCCTTACAGGGAAGGAGGCAAGCAGTCTCCTCCTAACATAGTGAAGCTACAAAAATTGGAGCTAGACTAGTTAAAGAAAGCATTATTATTCTTGTAGGACCAAGGCTATAAAATTGTCTGACTAGCCAATTCCCTTTGCCAACTAAAAAGCACACACTGGAGTGTTTTTATTGGTGGAGAACAAGGCTATAAGAAGTTGAAGAACAGAAGTGTTTTATTGGTGGAGAGAAGAAGAAGCTTCTGTTGATTTTCTGAGTTGTTTTAATTTCTGGGTTTTTGGTTTTTTATCTCTGTGCAAATACAGAGTGGCAATTGAAGTTGTGGATCCCCTCCCCTGCAGGCGCAGAGTCACATGGAGCCCGAGAGGTCTCTTATGAGTCATTACTGTATCAAAGTCACAATGATGAGCATCCAAACTTCATTAATGTGAGGGTTGCCTCATTGTCTTGTTCCTCCTCTAGGTTTAAATGTAACAGCAGCAGAAACCAGAGAAAGCTTTTAAAACTCAATGCATGCCACGTAGTACAATACTTACCATGACAGCGAAGGTGGCGCATTGTCTCTGCTTTAAGGGTCATAGGCATTTGCTAATGCAGGGAAGAAGACCCCCTAGTGGCTTTCAATTTTGCTTTATGTTTTGCTTGTGACCAGTTACTAGCTACAATTATATGTATATCATATTTGGATACGAGAGAGCTGTTATTGGCACTCTACGAAAGTCGTTGACACTTAATTTAGTGTATGCATCAGTAATCAATATTGCAAGGTTAGGTTAGGTGGGTATGAATATTAAACAGTGAAAGCAATGTGATTTTGCCAATTATGTTGGTGTTCCAAGGGTCATTTGGTCAATTATTTGTACAATCAACACAGACGTGTAGAATGATATGCATACATATGGGATCAGTTAATGGTTGGACAAAAAAAAACATAGCCCCATTATCCATTATTTTTTTACCAAAAACCATCGAATGTGAAATGTGAGTCTGGTCTTTAAACAATTGAAGCAGAGCCTGTTTCTGTGATGGGCGTTCTCTTGCTCAATCCACCATACAAAAGGAAATGGTCAGTTCTGGGGCCGGGTTTAATAGGACTCTATTTCTGAAGGAGGGAGAATCAAATATAGAACTAGGGATGCAAAGGTAAATAATTTTAAGATTTCATAGAACTCGTACTATTTCTACTGTTTAGTTTTTGTTTTTGGGGTTGATCCCCCCATTTCATCAACAAAATACTCTTTACAACTTGAGTTACAAGCCCTTGCAGGATCCAAATTTTTTATTTGCGTTGTATTTTATGAATTTTTTGCTGTGTCCATCATACCATTATGTTACTAAAATATAAAATGAATTTCCTTCCATATTGTAACATATAATTTTTGTTGTTGTTATTTTTAGTGATTTTAATTCCAACTTACGTCTAAAATAACAACCATTTAGATTCTTATTCAACTAATTTTCTATTTATAGGAGAGTATAAACTCAAACTTCATTGACGATAATTGATAAAAGAATAGTGGTTTCCTTTGGGTTCTAGATTTTTGTTTGCTTTTTAGTGATAATATATACTTAGGTCGATTTATATTTATATTTAATTATTTTGTATATATAGATTTCTAAATACTACTAATTAGGGGTGGGCATCTCATCTGAATTATCCGTGTACTATACCGACGGTTTGGTTTGGTTTGGTTAAATAATTATTTTTTTAATTTTAATTATTCTGATCAGATCTGTACCGAGATGTTTGATTTGGTTAAAAGAAACAATATCCTAACCTGACAGAAACTCGTACCGATCCAATATTTATACTTATTATATTATTTAAATACAAACAAGAAACCAAGATAAATACAATCAGTATTTTCTATCACTCCTTATTACTGCTGTATCACTTTTTATTACCATTGTGTCACTGCTTTATCACCATTCTATCACTTTGTTATCACCTGGTATTGTAGCACTTTTGGTCAGAGAGGAATTTATGAATTTTCCTAGTTTTCCAGTTTCAACTTTTGTCACTTTTTTTACTTGTAACTTTCCAACCGTTGATCCAAATTTTATGTTCTTTATATGGTTGGATTCAGCATGAAAAAATAATGAACCCAACACATAACAAATTCAAAATCATTTACATAAATTTAGAGAATTTAGTAAAAATAACACTCAAATGTTCAAACAACAAACACAAGTGGCTCCCAGTACAACTTGAGTATATATTGAATGATATAGTCACTAAGTTATTTAATTTCATACTTGGATGAATTAGACTATTGGATTTTTATATTTTACAATGATGATTTGGTGTATTTATTCAAGAACTTATGTTATGTGAAAGTATTATAAATTGTATTTTTATTAGTATGTTTTTATTACGGTACTGCCGGCGTACCGAATCAATTCGAACCGAATATTAGGTTAACAGATCCGAAGTCTACCGAAGCCTTTAGTTTGATTAACGGAAGATAAATGGTCTAACCGAAGCCTTTAATTTGGTTAACAGAAGAATTTTCTACCGTTTCGAACCGATCCGTGCCCAAACCGACTACTAATAACAATATCATTTTCACATAAGCACGATTACAAGCATAAAAATACAGATGTAGGATTCCACCTTACCAAAAAAGCAAAGGTTGATTGATTCAATCATTAGGGGAAATTTGAAGTTCGGTCTCTTTCAACGTGAAAAAGGAAAATTTAACTAAACTAAGAGTTAGTTGGTACAAACAAATGTTAAAACAATAGTTGATCGACTCAAATGACAGAGGGGTCAGGGCTACGACACATTGGGATCGATGCAATCCCAAGCCTCCACTCAGTTTTCATTATAAGGATAAGTATTATGATGTTATTGAATAACCTATATTAATTAATTATATATTTATTGTACCACGTGGTGCCCTACCCAGCTAAATCCCAAGTCTCCTCTAGGACTATTACTTATTTTATTATTTTTTATACAAAAATCTCTAATGACTTTTTCTCTACAGACAACGCTCGCGAGTTTTTCTCTCAAACTTTTTTATTATCAAGTTTTTAATTAGGTTGATTCATTTAATTAAAATTTTTTAATCTTTCTCTTATTTTTAAAGGTTTTCTCCTTACGTATGGTTTTTACGTGCAAGAAGGTTGTTATGCAACGATATAAATATGAAAATTCATCGAGAACAATTCTGATTGTAATAAATAGAAAATATAATTTTTAATATTTTAGTATGTATTGTGACTTCAAATATTTTATTATTATATTCTGTGAGAGGCATAAAATTCTAACTGAGAGGGGTGGTATAGTTGAAAGCCTTCTTTAATTGATCCGTTTCTTGACAAACATGCACACCTCTGTTCCCACTCGTGTTTCTTGTCACAACAAAAAGTTTGCCATCAAAAGCAAACGGACCCCAAATAGGCCCCGCCCATACAGCCATCTACAGACTACAGTGAGTTCTCTGAAGTTGCTTGAAAGTTCAAATTAAGCTTTCTACCATAGCGCATATGCATGTTCTGTCTCTTTTCTTCTGCTTCTTCATGCGGTGGAAGAGAAATTATAAATAATTTATTCTAGAACACTCGAAAGATATAGTTTTCCACCAATATATATACTATCAACATCATGCAATCCTTTATTCACACTACATCATACATCAATCTATTTACAAAGAGTAGAAAGATGTTCGCATCCGAGGCTAGATTCCCCTTGGTGTTTAAAAAAATAAAAAGCTGGTAAAAATATTAATTTGCAGAGGCCTATTTTGCTTGTTAAAGCTACAATCAAAATAGTTTATACATATGTGCCTTTTACTTTTTGTCCCGATGATCATTCAAATTCACATTTAGATTTTACAGTCTAAGTTTGATCTTCTAATTTCTGTCTGTTATTCCTTGATCTACTATAACATTCTTTATGATTTCTCCACTCCACGTTAAATTTCAGAAAAATGGGCGAGCGACCCACTACCAGCAACACCGATATTGTCCCTAACTTAATCACTTACATAAACCAATAGATGTAAATTTTGATAACAAAAAGCCGAATGATATTAGTAATGAAACCATGCATTATATATTGTATTTTATTTAGACCATGCATGACCAGACTAGCTGGCAGCAGCCATGTCTGTTTCTCACTCATCAGAACAATCAACATTTATTCATGCAAGTGCAAGTAATTTTTATCTACTTGTGATCAGAAGGATAAGCTTAATAACAAGCCCAAAATTCGAAGCGTTTTTAGTGTTGGCAAAGAAATTTTATTGCATGATCTACATTTATACTCAAGTGCTGAGAATTTTTATTCCACAAGCGCTAATTATGCATTTTCATTGTTACCCTAATTTAATCAATATTCTCTTGCCATGTTGGCATCACCTGGTTGAACAAATCCAAGTCCCCCATATCATAGAACGTTAAGGATGGTGATGATAAAACTTCCTCCTCCCTCATGTAGTTATCTGGATAGTTACTTTGGACATACATTGAAATGGTTCGGTCCAAAAATCTCCACTCGATTCATTAAACCAACTCGTAGTAGTAGATGCAGATGCCTGATTGGAGCTCAGGGAGGAGGAGTCACTGGAAAATGTTTCGGGAGACAAGGGAGAGCTCTCCAAAATTTGGTGAACAGAAGCATCAAATTTTGGACCACTTTGAGCTCCTAATTCTGTGTTTTGGCTGGTTACAGTTGGGGAAGACTCGTGCTTACAAGGCTGCTCTTTGGCTAATTGAGATGATGTTGGATTTTGCTTTGCTCGCTTCTTAAAGCGGGTGTTCCAATGATTTTTGATTTCATTGTCTGTTCTTCCAGGCAATTTTGCTGCAATCATTGACCATCTGCAAAGGACAAAAATTCATAAGACTTTACTCATAAGCCCTTTAATTTATGTTCCAATAGATTATAGCTAGTGGCTTTGAAAGTCATGAACTGAAGAGGAAATAGATATCTATAATACATGGCCATACTTATTTCCAAATTCTTCATGCAATTTGAGGATCAAATCGTCTTCTTGTTGAGTGTAATTTCCCCGTTTTACACCCGGTCGAAGGTAGTTGGTCCATCTCAGTCTGCAACTTTTGCCACACCGAGATATACCTGTGATCATACGCAAAACCAGGCTGCAATTATATGTTGCTTTATGTGTTTCAAAACAGTATTGGAATTGAGAAAACTATCTGCAAACTTACGCACCGGCAAATTTGGGAAGCGAACGCCAGTTCACATGGCCATGTTCTTCAATATAGACTCTTAACGTGTCGTCTTCTTCAGGACTCCATGCCCCTTTCTTCAGTCCACTTTTGTCATAGAAGGGGCTCTTACCATCTCTCTCTCTCTCCTCTCTCTCTCTCTCTCTCAAGTCAAGTTTGTTTTAGGTGATCAAAATGACACTCTGGCAGTATTTATACACTCCAAAATCAAAATGCCCCATGCTTATCAACATTCCAGGGATTGATGATGTGACCAAATTTTCCAACTTAATAATTGAGTTGCGTCACTTTTACTGTGATGGTAAATTAAAGAAAGAAAAACAAACGGCTTCGATTCGAAGATGCATCTTTTGACATAATATGCATGCGTATTTTAAGCGTGAAGGGCGGCCCTATATATATAGAAGATGCAGTGAAAATGTTTTCAATTGAATATAAAAATAATAGGATCATGATCGGAGTGGACATAAAGTGTCACATGAAATGGGAAGGAAGAGCCAATTCAATAGGAAAAGTGCGGCACTACGATTTGGCCACATATATTTATTTGTTTATTTTCTCCAACTTCATTATTACAAGTGCTTTTCTTGGTTGTTGCCTAGAATCATAATAATTATTTTTTTCCTTCTTATGGAGACTGTTGATTTCATCATGGATACATCTGGTCATGACTCATGACAGATTGGTCATGGGAAGACCGACTATGACCAAGCCTTAGAAAGTAAAATCACGATTTTCTGAAATTGTTATATGTAAGTTTATAAAATGCCCGGTTAAAATTTACTTTGAAAAGTCGGTCTCAAGTAAATTAGGTTAGATAAAGAATCTATCTATAAAGATGACGCTCAAATAAGTGGATCCTTCAATTGAAATTCTTTGACCATTTAGTTCACAGAAATGATTTGATGGGAAATCATATTCCAAATTGTGGAAACTTTATTTTGCTGAAGTGAAACATGAGTGTGCATTTGTTTGCATTATAAACCACAAACACGTTTTGAGATATATACCAGTGGTGACTAAAAAATAACCAAGAAATACCACTTTATTTCATTTCTCATGTTTGGTTTGTATATGAATGAATTTTTTTTTTTCTTTCATTTTCCAATTAAATCCTTGTTAGAAATATGAAATAAATAAAGTACAAAAATAATACCAACCGTCTTTGTTGTTGGATAAATTATAATTTTAAATTGTTAATAAGGGACAAATTGATCATGAAAAGCATGCATTTAATGTTGGTCTTGGTTTTCCATAGGAAGGGAAAATAAAATCCAAAGGAAATGGAGGGTTTCATCTTCCCCATCTTCTCCCATGTGTTATGAAACCATTTCCTATGTATGACCAATTTCAAATGATTATCAATCATAAAAAATCAAATAATTTCTCAATCTCAAGCCTCGTTTCACACTATATATATAGCACATACAAGGTTTCATGGATGATGGATCCATGATATGATAGGCACATGGGGAGCATCTTATCTTGTCCCTTGTAAATGTTTCCATAATTAACTAATAATTGATTAACCATGGAAGGTGAATAAATAATTCATAAAATATTAATTTGAGGAAGATGACATCACATGTTGTGATGTTTTGATGAGATGATGCTTCCATGAAAGGACTGTATACAAATATCGACAGCGAGTGACGTACAAGAGGCGATGTCATCAATGGTTGGACCTAGAAACACTAATTACGATACCAAAATGTCTGTTTTCATTAATTTAATTATAAAATTAGTACGTTTGTTTCTCCGAAAAGATAACGTGGTTTCATTTCACACTTTATTTTATTTGACTTGAAATTTGAATTACTCGGGTTGAATTGAAGCACGTGTAGCACAGGTCAATGGAAATTTGTTGTTCTATCATGGCTCATAAGAATTCTTTATATAAGAAGCTTTATGTTAGTAGATATTATTTTACAATGTAATTTCGCACTTAAAACAAAATAAATGACTCTGGTTAATACGTTTTTATGCTTACTAATTTATTACTCCTTTTATCTTTTTGGGTCAGTCTTTGATTCCTTTTTCTTTCGTTTAGTCTTTAATCACTTTTTCTTTTTTAGTTGGACGACCATATCGAGTTTTCTATAAACTTCTTATATTCATATCCGCAAACATAGCTATATGGGCGGAATCAGGAATTTTTTGATGGGTGGACTAGTTGAATTTTTTAGCTTAAACTCTAATAAATTTTTTTCATTGACTAATTTTCATTGAACTTTATTATAACACAAATAGATATTAAATATAATAAAAATATACATATTATCAAATGAATGTGTGCTCAACAAATATAGTTCAAAGTGTTTCTATTCAAGTTGTGCCCTGCGATTATTGAGAGAATTGAATTTTTTGTTATTGAATAATTAAGTTTCACACACATACATATATATATACAGTCCCCTTCTATTGAGGGATCCCTCAAATAATTTTATTTGAGGGACGCCCTTTAGGGTACCCTACAATTTTTTTTCCAATGATCCAAATCATCTATTTTTTAGGTCTTCATTCATAGATCATCCTTACAAAAAATTAGACAAATCGGAAACCGTTTCGACACCCAATTGTGTCCTACAAAATCAATGACACGGTACTTCAAGAAAAGTACTAAAATTTCAATAACTCAATTGAATGGTCAAATGATATCAGATTCAAGTGATTTTTTGTATAGATGATCTTTGAATGTGTATCTACAAAAGACGATTAGATTTGTGAAATACAATCCGGAGTGAGCCCTACAAGGGGTGTCCCTCAATAAGCTTATTTGAGGGATCCTCAATGGAAGCTCTCTGTATATATATATATATATATATATAATTAGTTGTAAACACAAGAATAATATAATTAGGTTCACATATTATTCCGTTTTGAAACCCTCTTATCATTATTTATTGCGTGCGTAATTGTGAGTTGAAGGACTTGCAAGGGATTTTATTGAGTCTAATGTTAAAGATTTTTATTTTTTATTTTTTATTTGGTGAAAAAAGGATAACCTTTGCCAATTTGAAAAAACAAACAAACAGACAAGGGCTTCTAAACAAATTAGGAGGAGAGGATTAGCCCAAGCAAAGGGCAGTAGACTTGGAGCCATATGAATCACGTGGATTATATAACATGAAGAGTGATTAAATCATGTTGTTAAAAATAATCAATTATGGCGGCTACATATAATGTTAAAACTATTACTAGTCTCAGTCAAAATAATCTTTTCCTCCCTCAAAAATTGATTGGTGATGGGATACGACAAGTGTTTGACAAGGTAATCTACATTTACGACAAGTCGCAAATACAACAGCGCACTGAAAGCCAAACGCTATTATTAACCATTAACCATTAACCATTAACTATTAACCGAGGACTTGAGAGGATAAAACTCTGGACCCCAACCAAACCAATTTTCCAATGTGGAAAAGCCCTAATCATATGAAATAATCTTGTCCTTAATTTTATCATTTTTATTTGGGCACACGACATAATATGAACTGAATCATGTTCATGTCATGTCATCATCATGTCGTGTTAATTTTATCTTGAATTAGATCTAGTACATGCACAAGTACAACTGCGTACATTAGATTCGAGTGGTATTTCTTTTTCCTGATTGGTTAATCTTGTCCTTAATTTTATCATTTTTATTTGGGCACACGACATAATATGAACTGAATCATGTTCATGTCATGTCATCATCATGTCGTGTTAATTTTATCTTGAATTAGATCTAGTACATGCACAAGTACAACTGCGTATGTTTAGATTCGAGTGATATTTCTTTTTCCTGATTGGTTACATATTATATTCACTAGCATTTTTATTAGTGGTAGATTTTCTCCATTTGATTGGAGGAGGTATCTTATGGTAGTATAGCTTCATTATGTGTGGATTTTCTCATTGTAAATATCCTTATAATTTTTTTTATAATTTTTTTTAAAGAAAAAACCAAAACACATAATAACAATAAATAAATAATCATTTGAATTATAATTGACAATTGGGACAAATTAAATAATAATTAGCCAATTAATGGCTCTAAGAGTCCTTGGCTTAATCAACAATAATGATACTTAATTAGGCCAATAGAGTTGCTCGTCTAGTATGATTTTCCCTATATATAAGTGAGATTTGTATTTGGTTGAGCAACCACATGATATTATTTGGGATGTTTTGATTGTACTCTTTCTTGATTTATTAATGTGATGCTAGTTTTATTTATTAAAAACATTTCTTTATAATATGGGATGTTTTGATTGCACTCTCTCCTTCCATCTGTCTTCTTTCTTTCTTCCTAATAGAATCATCCCATCATACGAATAAACCGGATTACCTCTCTCCATACTTGTAGATCTACTATTAATTGGTGCTTTGGGTTTAGGGGTGTTTAGGAGACATCGTGACCATATGTCTTGATGGAAGTTGAACGAGATTTGCTTTTCCACAGTCGTAGGTGTTCTCTATCCCCCAACTCCTAAACTGGTAGAGAGTTCTATCTCTCATATGATCTTCTTACAACATCGAATGCAATGGCTTTATGATCATCTTATGTTTTTCAGCTTCTAGTAAGCTGAGTCTTCAAGATGTAAAATTATTTTTGCCCATTGTCTAGCAATATTTATGTTTATTGTTTGCAAGAGCCCTTTGTGGGGCTATATTCTTGTAATGCCTTTTTATTAATGAAATTACTGAGAATATACACAAAAAAATGATGTGAAGGTCGGTTAATTATCTATGCGACTAACTCTTAAAATCTCATAGGATATTATCATATATGGAACTCTTAGCTTTACACACCCTAACATCAAAGGAATGTTACTGTTTGATTTATATTATGAACTATATTTTATATTTTATTTTCAGGAATTTAAATAATATATATATTATATATATATATATATATGATTTGAGATATTTAAACAAGAAAAAAGTATAAAAATGCATGCATTTCCATTCCAAAAGAGCTCCAAGCATAAAATTTGAAATTAGAAAAGCTGATTTCATGTTGTGTGTTACAAGAAATCTCAATAAAACGGTGGATAGAAAAACTCGGAATCCATGGAGAGAGTCGAAAGCCCACATGGGATGTAGGAGGTATCAGCCAAAAATGGCTCGGTCCAGAAATCATCGCCGAACTGAACATCTGCAAATGCTTCCATGGAACTAATAACATTGTCCTCTTCCACATAATTAACCCAATTATCATTATTCACGCTGCTTAAACAACCGCGGCATTGTCTGTGGTCAAGGACGAGACTTCACTCGACGAGGGTTGCGGCGACGACAGTTGGAAGATATTATCAAGATGATCATGATCAGTTTGGGGCACTTGAAGATGATCAGCTGTTTCATCTGCATTTGGTAAAATTGTAGCATCTTAGTTAGCTGATCGACGGCTAGCTCTACAAGGCCTGAGCAATTGGGTGTTTCTTGATCATCAGTTTGTGTGACTGATGATGATGATGATGATGATGATGAAGATGATGGGTTGTAGTGTTTATTGTTCATGCGTTTCTTGAGGTTTGTGTGCCAGTGATTTTTTATCTCATTGTCTGTTCTTCCTGGTAGCTGGGCCGCTATAGCTGACCATCTGCAAATTTCAAGAAAAAAAACCATGAGATTTCATGTGTGCCATATGATATCAGACAAAGAAGCATAAATTTATTAACACTAATACATACCTATTGCCCAACTGCTGGTGTAATTTGATGATAGTTTCCTCTTCTTCTTGACTGTAGCTTCCTCTCTTGATGTTTGGCCTCAAATAATTCATCCACCGCAGTCTGCAGCTCTTCCCACACCTTGACAGACCTAATCTCAAAGTAAAACCAAATTAATTAGGCTAAGAATTAATCAATTAATGATTGAGGAACTTTAAAATCAATTAGAAGTTCATGATTATCATCCACTTAATAATTCATGTCTCTCTCACCTGCAAACCTGGGAAGCTGGCGCCAATTCCAGCAGCCATACCTATGACATAAGCTATGAGCTTCCTGTCTTCCTCCGGTGTCCATGTACCTTTCTTCATCCCATTCTCATCGCGGCAAGGAGTTCTAACCATTTTTCCTAGTTGTTCTCTTTGTGAAGTTTGAGTAGAGAAGCGAGTACTTTGTTTTCAGGTCCTACCGGAAGTTGAACTCTCACTTATTTATATCGTCCCCAAAAACGTGTTGCACACAATAAAGTATTGATAATAATGTGTATTTTTTTTTTTTTCTGGTTTTGGGACCCACAATCCCATTCGTTTCACTTAAACAAAATGGTCATTGCTTCAACACGGGCCCCCCCTAACCTAATAAGAGAGAAGATTCTCCAATCCATATTTTTATTTTTTTATTTTTTTATGTATAAACACTGACTTGACTCTACATAATTATATTTGTCTAGTAATTATAAAGTAAATAGACACGAGTGCATATAGCCAGCTTCAAGGAAACAGGCCCTGCTTCCGATGCTCGCCAGCAGCTTCCTTCGTACTATAACATGCACATCACACCACTTGTGATATGCACCAGAAAACGCTTCTCATGGAGCCTCGAATTAAATTGGCCTCATATTACTTCAAGTCAAACCATATAATTTGGCAACCTATGTACGAATTGTGTGGCCAAGGATGGCGCCAGTAAAGCAATAGTTATTTTGGACAAATAGAGAAAGAAAACCGGCCATAATTCTTGACAAAGAATATCGTGATTCGTGGCCAAAGAAGCCCATTAATAGAACAAATTCACACATCAATTTTAGTTAACAGAGTGATGCGAGGCGTGGCTAAAAAGTCAATTCATAGCACAGATTCACACATCATTTCAATTAACAGAGTGATGCTAGGTGTGGCCAAGTTAGAATTGTAAGATTGGGGACCGAAATAGAAAATAAAGTACAGAAATATATATGATTTAAAGTTACATGTTAGGGTTAAATATTTGATACTTAATTATATCTAATTTATTTTAGAGGGGCTATTAACTTAAATTATAAATTGTCTATTATTAAGTGTATAATATTATATATACTATATAGTAGAGGAGGGAGGTCAAAAAAATAGGGGTGCCAAGTAGGCTTCGAAACGGATCGGAGATGGAGCGAGCACATGAAATTCTACCTAACTTGATTTTAAAAAACTAGATCCATCTCCGATTTGTTGAATTATCTTATACCGAATCTGATAATCCGATCCGAAATCTTTTACATCATATATACAAATAATTGAAAAGAAATTTTCCAAAAAGTTCACAAGAATCATTGTTACATATGTATATATAATATATATATATATATTAAGTAAGTAAAAATAAAATAAAATGAAATATTGCTATATCAAATCAGATTAGGCAAGATCCACTAAATTTATCTCCTATTAATTAGTGTCTGCAACATTTCTTGACGATGGAAGCAACTTATTATTAAAGTGTACGCAACATGTATGTGGCAATAAGGACAGAGATTTAATTAGTAGTAGCTTGAAGATGGAAGCAACTCAGTAATAGTAAGAGGTTTCACACCACATGTGAAATGGATTTGTTTTCCTGTTCGTACGTGGGGTTTGAATCACGTTTGGGTCCACTCCACATACACATACTTGAAGGTCAATGAAGAACCTCTCTCTCAAGAAATGAGATGGAACCAACACAAGCTTTTCTCTTTATTTTGTGGGACGACTGGGACTAATTACAGGGAGTGGGACCCCCTTTTTTTAATTACATATACTTACGTGGTCCTCACTTGTAATTTTCTTTTTGTCGAAAGTCCTCACTCGTAATTAAGGTCTCGAGAAATGTAGGAGATTAATTAAGATGACGAGATGAGGTCCTCTTACTTATTTTCTTAACTGATTTTTTTGTACAAATAATTAATTTGTATTAAGACTCCTGTTAGAATGTTGTCCCACCCTCCTTTGAAACCCTTTTACGAACGGTCAGAGAAATTCTCCATGTTTAAAGGTGGTCAAGCATATTCAAGCATATTCAACTTTATTGTAAACTTCAAACAATTTCAATGACTTTAAATCCAAATATGGCAATAATATTTTATTTTTTGAAATATCTAAGAGCATCATCAGTGGGAGTGTGTATTTTGGAGGTGTAAAGCCACTTTTACATTCTCTTTACACTTCCGGAGGGTGTAAATGTGTTTTTTTGCTCCAATAGGAAACGATTGTACTGTTTTTTTTTTTTTTTTTTTTTTTTTCTTTTTAATTTAATTTTTTATGCGTTAGATTTTCCAATAAATGGACCTAAAAAAATTTAAATTTGAAGAACATATGATTTTACCTACAAAACTAACATAAAAATATCTAGGTACCACTTGGTGTGCTGACATCAAGCGGGGCCTCAACATAATTTGTATGGCGTCTGAAGAGTGATTCCAACCTTCTCTTTCCCTTTTTCTCCTATGGAACTTTTGTATGTATTGAGTAAATTTTTAATGGTGTCTTCTGTTTAACTCACTTTCTAGAACCAGGCAGGCCCACATTACGTGGCAGTCGTGAGTCTCAGGCTTGAATTTCATGCATGTATAAAAGATATAAAGCATATGTGCCTCGTTTACTTTCCTAATTCCATGTAAGAAGATAGAAAGTGTGTTGACTTTGAATTCAAAGTCAAGCTTTTCATGTGCTCTCAAGATTGTTGAGCACTCTTTGTTTGTTTCTCACTTCTCATGTTCTCACTCTGTCCCCTTCCCATTTGATCCTGACAGTATCGTCGTCACTACCCAAAGCTTATAAACAAACACAACTTATTTTGTTGTTCTGTTCACATAGATATATTATATATATATATATTTATCTACATCAACTTGGCAGCTTCTTTGAAGGTAAGGAATAAAGTTAAATTGTATAACGTTGTATACTTAAATTCCCACATACGTACGCGTTGCTAATGGAATAGTTCAAATTCAAAGTCCAACAACAGATATATTTTATCTTGCTAAAAAAGAATAACATCATGGACGGTCGAGAGTCACATTTTATTCGTTCGACTACGGTCTCCAAAATTTTAGGGCCCACCATGTGCCAATACCATTCATATAGTCAAGTCTAATTAATCTGAGATGTCAAGTTAATTTTCTGAAACAAACCAAAATTTCCAAGCCACAAAAAAAAGAAGGGAAATTTAACATCTAAATAGAAGGCTGATGTTGAGATTTTCCCAATAAATTAGCCCTAGCATCTTTGTAAAAATTAAATTAATACTACAAGTGTATGTTTGTGTGTAAGACTCACCTACGAAGCAGAGACTTCGTCTCCTACCTCATACATTACATGATTGCATCTGCTGCTACAAAACCATTTTCTCTAGAGAGATCTTTTCCCTTTTGGTATTTAAATCTTGGAGCAAGGTCAACCCCAAAATACCAAGTTGGTTCGTTTATTTATTTATTGTTTTCTTTTGTTATTGGCCTAAGTCACAGTCAAGCTTTAAGTTTTTTTTTCCCCAGAGGAATTCCGCGGATGATCAGACTTGACTGAAATACTTGATTTTTTTTTTATTAAAAAAAACGACTTCAGTAATTTGAGAGCTGCAAGATTTTAATGTGTTTAATTAAACTCACTCGTTTTATTATCTAATATTGATATTGTGCGCGTTTCTGGGGAAGTTCATCCCAACTGTTTAAATTCTTATGAACCCTAGTCAATGCTGCTGGAGTCTAGTTTTGAACCAAGTCCTTTTTTATAAAAAAAAAAAAAAAAAAAAAATAAATTGTTTCTTTCTATTTTTCTATTGTGGGTCAAAGAGGGCATTTTGTACTTGGATTATTTTTCTATCCATAAAATCCCACTAACATAATTTTCTAGTCACTTGGGTTGGGTCAAGAAATGCTTGTATGGCCTCTGCTGGGATCCCAAAATCCATAGGATGATATTTCTACACCTTTCATCCCCAAGGATCTTTCATGGGTTTGTTTCCTTTGTTTTTGGGGCCTTTGGTCTCAACCCAAACTTAATTTTGATTGAGTCAGAACTTCAAACCCCAAAACCAAACTTAGTTAATTTATCATCAAATCAGACATGTTTCACCAAGTTTCTGATTTTTTTTTTTTTTTTTTTTTTATATAAAAACAAACAGAAAGTTTACAACAAATATCCTCGTCGGATCATTTTTGAATACAGCGATCTCTAAACTACAACGGGAAAGTGTGTGAATTTCTCACACACACTACCATGGATGTTAGGGGGTTTAAATCGTTAAGATCATTTTCCACTAAACGAGACTTCGTTGACTTGTTGGATCTTTTTTTGTCGGATGAAGAAAATGGTGGCAAAGTGTGCAACCACTCTAAGCTAGGATTGTTTATGGTAAAGCTCTCCCGAGGGGTGTTTTTCACAAGCTGAGTTTACTTCGTCGGATCTTTTGATGTGCGTAAAATATGCATTATGAATATTTATTCATTGTCCCTTTGAATCTACTGATGCTCACGTACTCACCAAACTTGTAAAAATCATGCTTGTACCTAATCTACTCCTACAAAAACTTACCGTAATATACAAGACATTTGATACAGGTGCATTATGTCCAACTTTTCCCATTTACGTATACTTGTAGATTCTCAGTATAGAAGTAGTCTGCACCAATTGAAATACAAAGAGAAAAAAGTATGAAAATATTGGCATGTCCTTTAGCTGTTGTTGTTGTTGTTGTAGCTTTCCTTTGTCATGTGACATATGCCACACGCCAACCCAAATTTTGTTTGTTTTCTCTTTTGGGTCAAATCACAACCTACAGATTCATATTCAGACATAGTCATACAAGGACCAAGCATTTTCAAAAATAAAAAGGAAAATTATTTAAAGATTAATTCAATGAAGGGGTTCGATGTTTTCTAAATAAGCAAAAGGAATCATACAATGTCAAGATCAATGTCGAGACTAGAAAATTTATTCAATATTTCTTAATTGCATATTCATGGATTCTACTAGTGTTCAAGACAATGAAACTTGTCAAACTCGCATTAATTTGCCCCACCTAATGAACTCATGGAAAAAGTTAGCATTCGAATTTAATGGACGGCCATTGCATCCCCACTATCTCTCAAGGCCTCAAATCTCAACCACATCAACTAACTCATTATAACCCATTAATCCACTTCACAACAAAAACAAATAGGAATTATAACCCTAAACCTATCCCGTGCAAAAAAATTCTTACCAATAAAGCTTTCAATTGAGGAATCCTCAAATAAGTTTATTTGATGGATGTTCTTGTGGAGCCTATTTACATTGTATTTTCATAATTCGAATTTTCTATTTTTAAAGTATTCATTCAAATATTATCTCTATAAAAAATTGTGTTTTCTTGAATTACCGGAATTGTCGGTTTTGTTGATCACAATTAAATGTCTTGATGATTTCCGATTGTGCTAATTTTTTTACAAAAATGATCTTTGAATAAAGACTTAATCGTGTTGCGTAATTACCTATAGCCATAAGAAACCAACTAAAAGCACCAAAACAAAACTTTAAAATCTTGGATCGCTATGTAGCTTATAAAATCATTACACACTAAAAAGTTTGAACTTTTTTGGATGACTTTAGCAACAGTGTTTGATAAATGAACTCCAGATGTTTCAATTTGGACAGGAGAGAGAAAACAAGATAAGCATAAAAGATCCCCCCTCGTATATAACTCCCATAATCCCGAGTTCCAACCGAGCACTTGTTGTTTTGTAAGTGAAAAACAGGAAACCATGCCGGCCTTGAACACCCAAAACACCAAAATAAACACAGAAGAAGAAGAGTGTGTCTGTTTCTTTTCTTGCTCTTTCCTCGTTTTGACCAAACCTTTAATAACACACTGACCATAATTATATGTAACCTTCAAACCCGTTAATTAGCGTCTTTACACGAAGCCCCTTTTCTTCCTTTCAAGTTTTGCAGACATAATGAAAAACGTTCCAAAACCAAAACCCAAGTTTCTGCACTGTTTCCGACCGGTCGTGGACATGGACATGGTGCTCGAGTCGAAAGGTGTAAGGATTGTTGAGAAGAAGGAGAACAAGAACAAGAACTCTTTGTCGACTAAAACCATGTCTTTGGACAGAGGGTGCTCTGTCAAGTCAGAGAACACGAAAATGCCTCCTCCTCCAAACCGAACGTTTTCTCGGGCGATCAAAGCCGTTGTGTTTGAAACAATTCTGGTCAGTGATCTTAAAGCCTCAATCTTTGACAGATATGGATATCTGGGTTGGTTTTGTTTCTGATTTATAACGAAGTTTTTTATATTTATTTTCGTTATTTTTACAGGCCAAGAGAGCTCGTGATCGAAAAGGTTACAGGCAAGACTCGTTTGGATCAAAAAGTTTTTCGGTGAAAAGTGAAGCATCTCTGAATTTCGGCAGCGATGAATTGATGAAGGTTGAAGAAACCAAACCCAATTTGGAGACGTTGCATTCTTCTTCTCCTAGTTCATTATCACCATCATCAATATCACGTTCAAGTTCGATTTCAGAATCCAAAAGATTGCCCAAAAATTTATCAGACTCAACGAAACAGAGCAAAAAAAACCAACAAGACCCTGCAGTGAAATCAAGGAACACGCAAATGAGTTCCTCTGATTTCAACTCTGGGGTATATTTTCTTCTCATAAGCCTTGCGATCACGGTGTTTTGGGGCAGGGTCTTTGCAATCCTTGTCGCATCAACTTGGCTCTACTTTTTTCCAGGGCGTTATAATGCAAGTAATGTGAAGCCGGAAAACGTGAGAAAGTGGTCGGAGGCAGAGTGCAGAGACAACAACAAGAAGGTCATAATGGAAGGGTTGATTGAAAGGAAGAACCACCACAGCCACAGAGAAAACAGAGGGCATTAAATTTTTGACGTGAAAATTCTCTGTTTCGTGTTTGCTTTTGCTTCTCTGCTTGGAAAGGTCAGCAGCAGTGAGTTTATTGTGTAGGTGCCTTGTGGCAAAATAGAGGAAGGAAAAGAAAAACAGAACATTCTGTATCTACATTTACTTCTCCTCTGTTTTGTCGGTTTCTCATGTTTTATGTAGTTAACAATGTATTATACTAGCCATGCCACAGAAAATTGCAAGTGGCCATTTTGTGGTTGATTGTGTATTTCTATATATAGTATCAATCTGGGATCATTGTTTTAGGCAAATTTGAGAACCATCATCATCCTCTGCATACAGAGAAACACTTGTGTGTAACATGAATAACATTATTTTACTAATCTCGGGCAATTACGATATGCCAAACAAAAAGTTATCACGCGTGATATACTATAATTGGCCGAGAATAAGAAAATAGTGTTATTACCGTTTCACAAGGGTTTTTCTGCTGCATATAAGATTTGGCTCACCATCAAACGATGTTCATCATGTTAGTGGTCGTTTTGACAATGATGATTTGAGCAGTAAAATCTATAAGAACTGGTACATAAACTGCAAATGATGTTGATGTGCCTTTTTTGAAAAATTAAATATCCTTTTCTAATTTCTCACCGTTGTTTATTGAGGAGGTTCCAAGGCATCTCCCTCCCAGGAAGAATCAAGCTGAGTTTAGATATCAATGCACTATCTGTTTTTGTTTATTTGGTTGGCGCTTAGCAGAACTTAGGCACCTTCGGCAGCATTTAACACATGGTTAATTACATGTCCTTGTTTTACTGTTTTCTCCAGTTTGTCTTAATTACCTTTAAATATTTAGGTAATTTTAACTTTACCTATACATGTACATGTACATGTACATTTCTATCTCCTCCTCTAGGCTTTATAGCCAGGCCCGGACTTAAACCACGCAACTGATCTCATCAATAATATCGAAAGATCTCGAATTTTAATAGCATTTAAGGGTGGCAAACGATTCTTTACTAACCCTACCAAGATCCAGAAAGATGGTTGGATTTTGGAGGCTTGGTGTCTATATAATTCAATGGGTGTCTGCCACGTGGATTACTGGTAGTTGAAGTGATCGTTACCTGTGATTGTTAAAGTAAAAAACTATCAACAAGGTAAAAGTTTTGGACGGTAGGGTGCAAGGCAATGTTTGAGCTTTCAAGTTTCTGCACTTGCCTTCTTTCCTGAATTAAACCAAAGTTACAAGAAAAAGATTGTCTTTTGGTCTTTTTCTGTACTTTAATTAATAAAAGATCAAGTGGCAAGGCAGGGATTATTTAAGGATTTCTATCTCTACATGTAAAAGGAAGATCAGAAAGAAAGGGACAGAGTGCTGTGCTTTATCATGTTTATTGCAAAAGCTGGAGAAAAGGGTTAGGCCATTCACTTGAAAGAAAACCCCAAAATCACATATATACTCTCTGTCTTTGCCGTCTGGCAGTTTTCTTAACCCTAGACCTCCACCAATACAAGTCATAAGAGATGACTGGAATCTAATCGCCTAATGAATACAATCCAACAACTGAGATTAGAAATATGTAATCAATTCTTAACTTAAATACTTATTGGAGAATCTCCCTAACTACAAACCACAAAAAGAGGGCACAATGACAATAATGATATGGAAAGGCATCCAACTCTTCTTTTGCAGCCGTGGATTTCACATGTTTCTTGAGATTTAGTTAAAGCTTGGTATAAAAAGTAGGCCATTGAGATAAGTCCTCCCGTGGCACTTGGACACTTTATATGGAACTATATGAATAAGGATGATAAAAGGAACATCGCTAATCAATTTCAATAGCTACAGAAAGTTTTCCTGTTATCTACAAAATTAAGACACAGAAGTACTGAGGAGTACCATGTTCCTTCTCCTTTTACCCTATGTTTTACCCTTTACAATGGAGGCAAACCCAAATTCACAAAAGCCAGTAAGAAAAATGGTCTTATTTGTATGTAACTATTTATAATGTGTTTTTCGAGAATTGAAGAACTCATAATCTGGATGCCTGTTGAACACCATGACTTTATCCTTGAAAACGCAACCTCTGCCAAAACGTATTGCATTTGCCTCCAATGTTCTGAGCCTTTCTTTGAGAATTTCTGCACTGTTAGAAGCTGTAGGTATTTTGGGATCAAACCAGCCTTCACCCTACAACAGAAAAAATAATAAATAAATAAATAAATATTTATATATATATGTGACATTGTGTCAATACCAAATAAGTTTTCCTAAGTGAGAATCTCTCACAATTATCATTCTTCAAAGGATTACAGCAAGAAAGTTCTACATATTGGCTTTGATGCTGAAAAAAAGCAGTTGAGTTCTGAAGTATAGTCTACTTTGGGTCCCTAACTCAATTTTTTTAATGCAAGAGTGAAGAGACTAGGCATGAAAACTTATTTATTCTGTAACTGCTAGGCCTCATACTAGGACTTGCTCAGACTTGATTGTAAATTTCTAAATATCCCAGTAATATGGCAAAACTCTTAAAATTATTGTCACAGCTAACCATCCTATAGGGTTGCCACACTTCCAAACTGTCACGGAGCATAGCTTTTTGTACTGTTCACCGTATTCATGTTGCTCATCACTCTCACATATTAAAGTGATATTGAAAAAAATACAGAACATTAAAGATAAAGAATGTCGATTTCTTACCTGTGCGTTGTAGCTTTGCAATCCTAACACAGGGGAGAGAATCCGACTTGTGTGTTCATTGGAAGCATCAGTTGGAAAAGGTCTCTGTGCAAAATGTCCAAGTGAGTGGTAGGTCAAGAATGATGCACGGAAGTTTCGTTCTGGAATTCGATATATAGGATACCAGGCCACCGAAAACCTGAAATCCACATTAACCCAACTTTCTTCAAATGCTCAAATTAGTCATCAAAACAGAAATATGAGTTAGAAAAATTGATTCTCACCAAGAGGCAGGATGTAAATCATGCAAATTCAGACAATCTAGTTTTGATGGGTCACCAAATATGTGATGATTAGAAGTTCCAACACTAATTAGCTCCACAATTCTGCAGTCAATTAGGAAATCAGGTATAAATAACCTGGACATTTTATCTCCAAAAAAAATAAAAATGATTAACATACAAATTAAGAGAAGTGGGGAATATACAGAATGTCAAACATGAAATTAAATCAGCACTCAAAAGTGTACTAAATCCAACACATTTGGAGTTCTTTGTGTGCATACCTCATTGCCAAGCTTCTAATCTTGACCAAATTGTAGGTTATCAGGTCATTTCTCACAGCCTAAGAAACTCTTTCTTCTTTGTTGTTTCAAATATAGATCAATCATATTGCATAATTATTTTATACTTTAAATGTAAAAGGAATCCCATTTCTATATATCTATTTGGAAGTTGTGATATAGTCTCCCTCAGCCTCAGGTCAATAACAAGGTTCCAGAATAAATTGACATAAGTGTAGACAGAAAGTGAAAAGCTAGAGAAGTAAATGAATGTCATTAGCATCAATCCAATTTTGAGTACTGTCTGCAAGATGAATAGAACAATATAAGAAAAAAAGACAACATATCTTGTCATAAGAGTTGCAAGAACATACTTATTGTAGAAAGGCTTTCGCTGATGTGGCTGCTCAGATTCAAAAAATTCAAATATGAGCTTACAATCAGGTGACCAATCAAAAGAACCAATAGGCTCCTTGACTGAATCAAAGTTCTCTGTCCCTGCCTGAAGATAGTTCAGCTCTGCTGCTTCTGCAGAATATGTGGAATTTAATGTTTTGGAACCAGGGTCGTTGGACCGAAACAGTTGAACAGCAGAAAGGGAAGGAGCAAAGTGGGCATGGAATGACACTGAATCATTGAGGTTTCTAGAACCATCTGCCTTCACATCCAATCCATAGTTCCCTGGTTTCTCATACCAGTTCCAAACAGTGCGAAGTGATAAGTTTGGTATCTGGTGCTTGCATAGGAAACTATGAGACAGCTGATCGTCCAAACAAACAGAACATTTTTTATGTTTGTATGAAGAAGCAATAACAGGAGCAGCGCAGTGGATGAATCTTTCAAACTCTGCAAGTGGACACCCCATTGTAAGGTGAACAACCTCAGATGCTAATTGCATTCTGTAAGAAGCATTTAGAGCTTCCACTGCCATTTGTGAACCAATTAGGAACTCAACGGTGTCCTTTGGTCTTATACCATTTGCTTCATAACCATTACTTTCAATTTTCTGATCTTCTACTTCTGCAGTGGACTTATGAAATGTTGGGTGCTCACAATAAGCCGAAGGCAATTGATGGCTAGATATTGAGTTTGTACCTTTAATTTCAGAAAATGTATCGGATGAAGGAGAAGGAATTGAACTTCCCTCTGGATGGATATTACCCAACCCCTTGCTTAAAACTGGTAGGTCAAGATCTGAAGCATTGCAAGTAGCATCAGAGCAAATCCCCTCCATTGGCCTGGACTCTTTTGTACCAACAGGTTTCCACTTCTTAGAACTTGCTCCAGTAGTAACATCTTTCCTAAACTTATGATCACCATGATATCCAAACTCTGAGTATTGTCTACCGTCCAAAGGAGAATATAAACACCTACTCGAATTATGTTCCATGATTGGAATCTTCATGAATTTATGTGGTTGACTGCCATTCATCACACCTTGAGTAGATATTTTAGAATACACAAAGGATGAGTTCAAACAGAGTTTATATCCATGACTTGCAACAAGATGATCATTGTAAAACGTTCTTTTGGCTGTATCTCTATTCTTGTAATGGTGCATGCCAAAAGGAACCTGTGAAAATTCTTGTTGATATGAAACAAACTTATCATGCAACCCAAAGAAGTTTGCTCTACAATTTCCAAGTCCTTTTTTCCCATTGCAATTCAACCTCTGTTGAGAAGCAACCCATTGTGGTGCTTCACCCAATACTCTCCGGGGCATTCTCCCATAAGCACCACTGTTGTGTCCAGAAAAAACCAATGCATTAGCTTCCAAACTATTACCATGTTCAACCCAGACACTGTTCTCTACAGCTGGATATCTGTAACTTGGTTGTTCCTTGACCCAGTGCCTTTGTTGATCCCTAGCAGTACGCTGCCTCTTCTGCCACTTCTTTACAAAAAATCTATTTTCTTTTCCATCGTGGGCGCAGGATCTGCCACTACCAGTCTTGTTATCGTCACGAACACTGCCATTAGAATCTTCAAGTTCGACCTTGCTGCATTTTAGTACAGCAGAGGGTTGGCTGGCCTGAAGATCCTCAAGAAAACTATCGTTTCTTACTTCATCAGACCCATGGTTGCTCATCTTTGAACAGTTATTAGAATTCTGAATACCAACTGATGAACAGTTTCTGGGTATGATCAGGAAACCCATCACGGGAGCAGATGGGAAGTTTCTTGTCACCATCACATGGGAGATCAGACTTCTTAGCTAACTTCCCTTTCTTCTTATTCCATTTCTTCTTCTTCTTCTTCTCATAAATCTTTCCATCTGGATTATCCGTACATAAAGCTATAGGATTGGGTTCAAAATTTTCCCCTTTTTGGTTCATCGCCTTTCCGTTCATATTCTTTAGACGAATCTAATCACACACCAAGAGGGCACACAAAAGAAAAAGAAGGGTTCATTCCATCCTCAAGAAACTTGAAGATAGCAATTCAATCTCATCCAAAGAAACCCTAACATACCCAATTTTTATGTGGTCTATTTTTCAAGGAAAAATCCAATATTTTTCAGTAAAATTCATATAAAGTAGAGGGAGAAATACAACAAGAGCCACAGAAGATTGAAGGAAAACTATTTTCTGTCGATTATATTTGTAATGAAAAAGAAAATCACAATAGTTGCAGAGAGTGTACCTGAGAGAGAAAGCAGAAGGCGCGTAATGAGAATGAATTTGAAAAGCAAAAATTAGTTGGGTTCTTTCTTGGGGTTTAACGGTTGACTAAGGTTTTAAGCACCGGTTCTCTTATGGTGTGATGTGCACCGCTGTTCATGAGTTTGGCTTTGTATGTTTGCTACGCTGTCGTTTTTGCTCTATCCATTTTATGTAAAATAAAAAATGATGGGGGTGCACCACAATCTTGCAATTCTTTTCTCAAACTTCCTTAATTTTTCTCTAATCTCTTTCAAGAAGAGCAACCTTCAAATAAGAGCAACCCTCAATTATAGTTTTCGGTCCAATTTTCATTTGTGCAAATGAAGGTTTTCAAATAGAAACAGCAATTATGACGCATCACTAGTCTTTTATAAGGATTTGTTGATCTATGTCCATCGCCTAAGTTACCTCTCCATGTTGCAAATTCTTGTTGGAATCCTCCTGAGGGGAACATGCTGGAATTAAATGTTGATGGGGCATGTTGTGTGGCTGATAGAAAGATGGGGCTAAGAGTAGTAGTCCGAAATGCTAATGGGGAATTAATGGGTGCCATGGCTAAACCGGTAATTGGTTGTCTTTCCCCTAAGGCTTTTGAAGCCTTGGTTATGATTGCAGGTTGTCAAATGGCAATAGATGCAGGATTCACAAGGATAATTATTGAAAGTGATTGCTTGGAGGTGATTAACGCTGTAAACCGATTTGAATTGACATGAGCATGGAAGGAGAGTTGATAGAGGAACTGAAAGAGTTACTTTGTCATTTCGTATTCGTATCCTTGCAACACCAACCTCGTACATGTAATTTTGTGGCTCACCAATTAGCCAAATTTACTTTATCATGTAATGAGATATGTTACTGGATGAAAAAGAGGCCTAGTTGGCTTCACTCTTACCTTCAGAGTGATTTGTGTTCTTTACATTCTATTGATGAATAAAGTCATTGGCCTTTAATCAGAGAAAAAAAAATAGACAATTTTATCTCCAAAGACTTGTTATGAAGCAAGGCTCTTGGAATATATAAACAATAATACAATTATCATACCAAATCAAAAGAGGCTATATAAAAATATATAATACATATGACAATTACTTAGAAGGCTCAAACCAAAAGAACAAATGGAAAAGGCACATCAAGTGTTTATTTGATGCTCTTCTTCAGATCTCTTGGAGATGGTTGAAGATGTGGCGCTCTTGGTCTGAGAGGAAGCTGTTGAAGTGTTATTGCTCCTTTGATGTGAACTCTGGCTTGAGGATGACTCAGTGAAGAAGATTATGTGCTCCTGGTCGTCTCCAAGGACTTGGAGAGATCTTGGTATTGGTGGCAAGTTGACATCTGAAACTCCCTCAAGGATTTGCACCACCTGGCCCATTGATGGCCTATGAGCCTCATCATCTTGAACACACCAGCAAGCAACTCTACAAATCCTTGTGAGCTCTTGTACATCAGCATTTCCATCTAGCCTGAGGTCTAATAGGCTCAGCACATCAGTTTCTGCAGTGCTTATCTGCTTAGCAGCCCAACTTGGGAAGAATCTAACTTTGCCATCTTCAGATTGCTCAGAGTTTCGTCGTCCCGACACGAATTCAAACAGCATCATTCCATAGCTGTAAACATCAGCTTTCACTGTTATTGCCACTCCTGAAATCCACTCTGGTGCAAGATAGCCTCTTGTGCCTCTCATGGTTGTCAGGACCCTGCTGAACTCTCTTCCAACAAGCTTTGCAAGGCCAAAGTCTGCCACTTTTGGACCAAGTTCAGTATCTAAAAGAATGTTTTCTGGCTTTATGTCACAATGTATGATGCAATCTCTGCATTTCTCATGAAGATAAGCCAACCCTCTTGCTGTCCCCAGAGCAATTTGGTACCTTGTTTTCCAATCCAAAACATTTGGACGCGTATCATGGAAAAGCTGAGAATCCAGTGATCCATTCGGCATGTAATCATAGACCAACATCCTTTTTGTACCTTCAGAGCAGAACCCGCGAAGCCGGACAAGATTGACATGTTGAATTGTCCCAATTGTGCTCACTTCAGTTCTGAATTGCTTCTCTCCTTGGCTGACACTTTCAAGCTTCTTTACTGCTATGACAGATGAATCAGGCAGGGTCCCTTTGAAAACAGAACCAAAGCCTCCTCCCCCCAATTTTTCTGAGAAGTTCTTTGTTGCATCTTGCAGATCTCTGTACCCAAAGGCCACCAATGAACCCTCTACTGCTTTTCCCGTTCCAGTCACTCTCTTCCTTTGTCTCAAGATTACAACCACAATAAGCCCTAAGAGAATTGCTATTCCAGCAGCTGAGCCTGCCACAACACCAACAATCAATCCCTTATTGCTTTTAGGACTCTTAAACTCGGAAGCTGCAAGTCTGAGGTACAAAGTTATTCCCTGACTATCACTTGATGTGAGTTGTTGCAGATTGAAGAGTTCTCCGATCCAAATTGAACATCCACTGCTATTATAAGCATAAGCAGTGCAAGAGCAATTATTTAAGCAGATTGATTCACATCCAGCAATAGTCTCAACGTTCACAGACTGCATATTTTCAGGCAATGACATCGTAGCCATTTTAAACTGGTCTTGCTTCCCGTCAGCACTAGTAGCATTCTCACAATGCAGAGGGGTTTTTCTTTTACACCCACCAGAATAATCCTGCAAATTCCAATCCCTCTGCAACTTTGGCTCAAAACCTGTCAAACAATCACAGGGGACCGTGCTTACCTCATTGCAACTGCCGAATGCCCCGCATAAATCATAAACTTCACATTGCTGTCTTGGTTGGCTCCAAAACAAATTCCACTTGCTGGAAATCTCCAACCATGAGAGTTGCTGAATCTGCCCTGAGGTATGCATCACGAATCGAGATATTATCTTAGGATCATAAAGAGAATAGGTGAAATAACTTTCGTTTTTGTTTGTAACATAGCTGAAATTGTAGATATAGTTAAGCCTCATCTCAGGAACCAAGCTGAAAATACGTGACGTTGCATCCCATGGTCCACTGGTCCAATACTGTCTAGACCTATTCCAAAGTATGAGATATGCATTACTTCCATTGGGGTCAAGCTCAAGAGTGAAAAGACCTGGTGCAGGATTCTCTGAACTCTTCCATGAAGTGAGAATTAAGGTTTGATTGGTGACAATGTTGAATCCAATTCTAGCTCCTGGTAGCCATGTATGAGCTGGATGATCAAAGCTTTGCCACAAAGGCTCTGATGTATTAGCATTAGACCCAGCAGTTCTTAAGATAAGGTTTCCACTATCTAAAAGAACTGCTTGTGCAGAACCTGAGGTGGTGGTGGAGGCTAAATTTGTGGACCAAATTGCAGTGTTGGACTCATTAAAGAGAACTAGATTACCATCTGAGATCCTCAAGACTGAAGAAAATCTATCAGAAACTGGTGTTTCCCTATTTGCCACCCAAACTATGGTCTCCAAAGATACTAGTTGTTTAGAGTACCACATGCCTATGTAGTAGTTTGAAGAATTACCTGGTTTGAAGAAACCCAGCTCAAAAACCTTTCCTGCAGAGACAATGGTTTGATCACCAGAGAGAGATTGGTTTGCAGCGATGGTGTCAGCTGCAAGGCAAACATGGGTTTTGAGATGCAGGCATAAGCAAAGCAAAAGCACCAAACTTTGTTTGGTTTTGGCATCCATGGCTGCACAAAACCAATTTGCAGATAAGTTCTAGATACTGTATTGCACCAAGAACTTAAACTTTGAAGAAAGGAGAGAGAGAGAGAGAGAGAGAGAGAGAGAGAGAGAGAGAGGGAGAGAGTGGAGTTGAATTCTATTATACCCCATGGTTCTGGTCATTTAGTGGAGATTGGACTTGGACAGCTGTGCGGCAAAGTCGTGCCCATTTGTGGCAAAAAGTCAATGATAAACTCTTCTGTCTGCAAGTAAAATTTTGTCACCTTTGGAGAAACTCAGGTCATGTGGTCAACCAACCATGCAATAAGATTGGACCACAAAACCATGTATGAACAGAGTTTGATGCAATTTGTAGCTTTGTCAGCCGCAATAGACCAAGTCAATCAATTTGCGTTACAACTGTTTCATTATTATGGTAATATAGAAATGAGCCGCGCCTTACTTACGTTTGAGCAAATTTATATTCCTTCTTCAACGGTCGACAAGAATTCAGTCATGACCAATTCTACTATCGACCCGTCAACAGATGAACAGAAAGTTTGAAACTCGGACCCATTGGCCAGAATTTCCTTTTGTTTTGCCGTGTTGAAAAGGCTACACAAATCACTTTCTTTGCTAGATCTGTGCTTTATTGCTGTTTTTTTTTGGGTAGTGGTTGTAATAATTTGTATCCTTTCCGGGCAGAGGCAAATATTTTTCGAACCAATGTAATTTGTGGCTGGCGGTTCATCAGATAGAAAATCATCACTGGTTGGGTTCATACGGAAGCAATCTCAGCCGTTCATTTCATCTGTTTTTTTTGTGATAAATGTTGAAACCAACCTTAGTACTTGAAGGGAAAGTACAATAATAAAGACTCATTCATCGCAGCCCTGCTTGTTGCTAGGTTCTATCTTGACCTCTGGTCAAGCTTTTTTAGCTAGTTGGCAGAAATATAGTGGCAGAAATATAAATATAAGGAGAGCGCAAATTGTGCTCCACCACTACTAACTTGTGCATTATTGCAGGAGCATGGGAGGTTTAATTAAATAATCTTTGATGGGTCTTTGGGGGCTCAATGTCTCTTACAATTTGTATATATGAATGATCAATTTGGGATATTTATTAACAAACATGCAGCATAAATATAAGGAGAATGGTAGCAAATCACTCAATTGTTCTTTGGTAAAGTTGTTGTTTCTGTTTATTTGTTCATTCTTATGTGCAGGTAAATAGTTGGAAATAATATTTTCACCAAATCTGTTACGGATGAGGTGGTGGGTGTGGCCGCGACGGCGCTTCATTAGATGGTGGTGTAGGGTTCGTCTAGGCTCATGAGTTGTTTTAGGGTTTATGTTGGGTTTGTTGGCTTTGTTTGGGCTTATGATTAATTGTGGTGATGTGGGCTAGTAGTTTTAGTGCGGCTTTTATCCACGTTAGTTGTGTTTTTAGCATGTTATTTTGTTGCCTTCTTGAGATTGGTATTTTAGATGTCTTGTTAACGTCTTTGATTGTACCGTTGAAGTTTATCTAATGAAGTTTCTATTTGATTATTAAAAATTAAAAAATTTAAAAATAAAATAAAATATTTTAAAAAAAAAAACCCTTCTCTTTTGGTCATTCTTCATTTTCCTAATGACATGTGTCACTTTACTTACACTTAAAATAATGTCATTAATACTTGAGACAATCTAGCTATTGTTTCCCTAATTTACTCTTACTAAATGTATTGACTTTTATGTTTCTTTCAATTAATCCATTTTTTTTTACAACTTTCTTATCATCTTGTTAAAAATTAAATAAGAAAAAAAAGTCAGATTTTTTATTTAAAAAAAATCAGCAGGAAACAACCTAAAAATTAGTTCCAGATGGGGAAAATGGATGAGATGGTAAAAACAATTCTTGGAACACCTACATCATTCCAGCGAATTCAACATCAACATGCATCCAAGACTCAGGCATTTTCATACATGTTTGTTTCGCCGCGAATTTGCATTTGAATAATACTAGTCTTACCACATTTTCATACCACATGATGTGGCAGCTGATGTGTACATATCACATCATGTAAAATACTAGTTTATGTTTTTTTAATTTTATTTATTAAAATATACTTCATTTATTTAATTGATGTGACAAATGATATGGACATGTCACATCATGCGGTATAGAAATGTGGTAAGTGTAGCATTACTCTTTGCATTTTTCACCACACACGTGGTTCTACATCAATATATGATACATCACTTTTAAATTAATCTTTTAACAACTTAATAAGAAAATTGTAAAAAAAGAAAAAGAAAAAGGATTTATTGAAGAAAACATGAAAGTCAATATTTAAGGGGTCCTATATTTAATAAGGGTAAGCTTGGAAAACAAAAGTTAGTTTGTCTCAAGTATTAATGACATTATTTTTAAGTGTAAAGAAAATGACACATGTCATTAGGAAAATGGAGAAAATCCAAAAGAGAAGATTAGAGAGAAAGTTGCTATCATTTCCCTAAATATAAATCAACCATACTGATGATGATGATGTGACAAATCATATAAATTTTCATGTTACCTTCCCAAAATTTAATTTATTTTTTTGTTGTCAAAGTTTGGAAGGGTGAATGAAAGGTGTTATTGGGATTCCAACATATGATTACTGATATGCACGCAAATATTCTTAGTATTGAACTACTGACATGTTGGCATCTTCTCAAAAAATTATCGAACATAAAATTTGAGATGATATTTGGTGCCTCAAGCCAAGGAAAAGCTATAATGACGAGTTTAGAGTGAGCAACTTATTTGAGGGTTCAATCTTACTATCAACAAATGTGAAAAAATCAATAAATTTAAACATTTTAAATAGTTTGTTGGTGGAATTGAACTTCTTAAGCCAGCCTCCTAGCTATATTTCCATGTTGTTTGGACTGGCCATTTTAAGTTGTCTCATCTCATGTTGTTGCCAACAAGCTTTGTAAACTTTTAAGTATAGATCTGGGTTACTGAGTCATGGTATTATTCAGACCCAAAAAAAAAGGTCATGGTATTATTGTCTCAGGACTTCTCTGTTAGAAGATTTGCCAGGGCTATATAGAAGCAGCTATTTCTTATTATTGGGCCACATGCCCCATAACACCAAAAAGTGCTAAAATATGAAAACTATGAGAGAATATTTGTTTGTGAGAATTTTTTGTGTATTCTTCTCCTTGTAGGAGGTCATATTTATAATACAATGAAACCTGAATGGGCAAGTAAATAATAAATTCCTAAATCTATTTACAGTAGGAAATCAGGAATTAAAGTAAATCAATTACAATTATAATAGGAATTTTTGGTGTGTAAGGAAAGTAAGCCAATATCCACAAGTCACGCCAACACTCCCCCTCACATTGGTGCATAGATGTCGCCAATGCCCAACTGGTCCAGTGAATTGTGGAATGTTTTACTGGAAATCACCTTTGTCAAAATATCCGCCAATTGATCCTCGGATTTCACAAATGGAAACTGAAACACTTTAGCCTCAAGCTTATGTTTGATGAAGTGTCGATCCACCTCAACATGTTTAGTACAATCATGTTGAACCGGATTTTGTGCAATGCCTATAGCAGCCTTGTTGTCACAAAAGAGATTCATTGTGGATGTTTATACCCAAGTTCAGTAAGCAACTTTCTTAACCAAAGAAGTTCACAAATCCCTTTAGTCATGCCTTTGAACTCGGCTTCTGCACTGGATAAAGCTACTACATTCTGTTTCTTACTCCTCCATGTCACCAAATTACCTCTCACGAATGTGAAGTAACCCGATGTGGATTTTCTATTTGTTACATTATCTGCCCAATCTGCATCTGAATAACCATCAATATTTAGATGACCATGCTTTGAGAACATAAGTCCTTTTCCAGGTGTAGACTTCAAATATCTAAGTATCCGAAGAACTGCATTCATGTGGTCTTCACTTGCAGAGTGCATAAATTGACTGACAACGCTCACCACATAAGCAATGTCTGGTCGAGTATGTGACAAATAGATCAATCTTCCCACTAACCTTTGGTATCTTTCTTTGTTAGTTGGAACTTGATCCGAATATTCTCCAAGATGATGATTATGAATAATTGGAGTGTCCATAGGCTTGCAATCTAGCATTCCTGTGTCTGTCAACAAGTCTAAGACGTATTTCCTTTGAGAGAGAAATATGCCTTGCTGCGATCGAGCTACCTCAATTCCCAAGAAATACTTGAGTCCACCTAGATCCTTCATCTCAAACTCCGTAGCCAAATAGTCTTGTAGCTGTGATATTTCTTGTTTATCATTCCCAGTAATAATCATATCATCAACATAGATTATTAATGATGTTACCTTCCCTTTCCGATGTTTCAAGAACAGAGTATGATCTGAGTTGCATTGTTTGAAACCATTGTTCTTCATTGCCATGGTGAACCATCCAAACCATGCACGTGGTGTCAGTTTCAATCCATATAATGCTTTTCATAACCTACAAACTGTTTCAGTCTGAGTAGTATTATATCCAGGAGGGATATCCATGTACACCTCCTCCGTGAATTCGCCATGTAGAAAAGCATTCCTTACATCAAACTGGTGTTGTTGCCAATCCAAATTAGCTACAAGGGACAATAAGACTCTGACGGTGTTTAACTTTGCAATTGGAGCAAATGTTTCTTCATAGTCTATACCATAGGTCTGTGTGTACCCTTTTGCCACAAGTCTTGCCTTGTACCGCTCGATAGATCCATATGCATTGTGTTTTATAGTAAACACCCATCTACATCTGATAGTCTTTTTTCCTCGTAGTATAGTCTCCAATGTCCAAGTCTGATTTTTCTCAAGAGCTTTCATCTCCTCTTTTATAGCTTGAACCCACTTAGGATCTTTCAATACTTCAGAGATCTTGGTTGGAATATGGATAGCAGACAACTGGTGCACAAAAGCCTTGAGTGGTTCAGACAGCTTCTCAATGGATACATGATTTGAAATTGGATACTTGGATGTCTTGCCAATATCAGGTTAATAACTGTTTGGTGGCTTCCCACGATTTTGCCTGAAAGGTAATTGATATCCAACAGTTTTATCCTCTAAATGCACAAGTCTAGTGGGAGTAATTACCTCAAGGATATTCTCAGGAGATTGGTCTGTTGGTACTGTTGAGTTAGAAGGAGGTCTTCATCTTGTTGTTCTGTATTGTTTGTAGGTGTGAGACTCGTGCTCCAGACTCGGGACGATCGATCATTTACGTACAGAGGAGAATCTCTTCGTTTTCTAAGGTGCTCCAATTCTGCTATTCACTTCGTATCTCCCCATGAAGCGTAGAATTGGATAATGGGTCATGGAAGAACAACTCAGATTCCAGAAAGGTCACATCCAAAGTGACATAGGTACGTGAGGTAGGAGGGTGATAACAGCGGTAGCCTTTCTGATAAGTGGCATAACCCACAAAAACACAATGAAGCATACAGGGATCAAGTTTGCTATGTTGATTTTTGTAGAGATGAACAAAAGCCACACATCCAAAGATTCGAGGTTTGAGTACTAAAACAGAGGGCAGAGGTCTATATTGCGCAAGCACCTGTAAGGGAATTTTAAAGGTCAAGACACCAGAAGGCATGCGGTTGATCAGGTGAACTGCGGTGACAATACCATCATCCCAGTGATGGCGAGGAACATGAGTGCTAATCAGAAGTGCTCGAGTGGTTTCAAGAAGATGTCAATTCTTTCATTCAGCAACACCATTTTGTTGCGGTGTCTGAGGACAAGTTGTCTCATGGATAATTCCATGTTGTTGGAAGTAAGTCTGAAAGTCATGATTGACAAATTCTCCACAATTGTCTGAGCAAAGAATCTGAATTTGAGCATTAAATTGAGTTTTCATTTGTTTGTGGAATGACTGAAAACGGGAAAATACTTCGTTTTTTATTCTTTAGCAAATAAAGCCATATCATTCGTGTACAATTATCTATGAATGTGACAAACCATCGAACACCAGAAGGAGTAGTGATAGGGGAAGGTCCCCAGACATCAGAGTGAATTAACATAAATGGAGTAATACAGTTGTTCGTACTTAATGGGTAGGGCACACGGTGACTCTTGGCCAAAATACAAGTATTACATGTGAAGTTAGAGTCCTTGAAACCTGAGAATAAATCTGGTATAAGATACTTCATATAACTAAAAGACAGATGTCTCAATCGACGGTGCCACAACCATATTTATTTTTGTTAGTTATCAAAGGGATGCGTCACACTGTTAGCCACGCCGGGACTGAAGTCATCGACATAATATAGCCCCCCTCTCTTAGTACCATGACCAAGAATCTCCTTATTATGAATATCCTGAAGCAAACAAAAACTCAGGTAAATGAGTACACAACAATTCAATTGTTCAGTAAGCTGACTAACTGACAACAATTTAGTGGATAAAGATGGAACAAGTAAAGTATTAGACAGTGTGAGAGAGGATGAGAGTGCAACAGTGCCAGCCCCCGTCACAGGATAAGTAACACCATTAGCATTTGCAATACAAGTTCGTCGAGGTTGTGTAGTATTCAGAAATCATCAGGATTAAACGTCATATGATCAGTTGCACCGGAATCAATTATATATCCAGCTCCTGGAATCAATCTTATCGGAAGTATGGAATCCATAACCAATACCATTACTGGTCATATTGCATTGTCTTCGATCTTTAAGAGTAACCCACCAACCGGGGTAGCCATGCAATTTAAAACAAGTCTCACGAGTGTGTCTCGGATCACCACAATATGCGTAATTTGGTCAATGTGTCGGGGTCGTTAGTCGAGAAGTCATAATCTGTGCAGCGGAAGATGCATATGATACAGGTTGAGTAGGAATTCGGATTGGGATCTGAGCCTGAGTCAGGGCTGGAGTCGGAGTCGAAATCGGGGTCGGGGTCTGAATCAGAGACAAATTCGGGGTTGGGGTCATCATCGGAGTGGGGGTCGAGGTCGTCTTCGGAGTCGAGGTCGGGGTCGTCGTCATCATAGTCGGGGTCGGGTTCGGGGTAGTCAAAATAGGATCCTGATTCCGGATCGAGTTCGAGGTCATCAAAATAGGATCCTGATTCAGGATCAGATTCGGGGCCAAAGTCTGCATATGTAGGAGCTGAGCCATCTGGGCACTCAACTCGACTATGGTTGGTTGAGAAGGAGAGGAGTTGGTGGTGCTACCTCCATGAGGGTTGAAAAAATCATCAACCCCCATAGCAACGGCGGGGGTTTGAAACTAGAGTCAGCAATTCCAAGATCGCCGCTCTGATACCATGCTAAAATATGAAAACTATGAGAGAATATTTGTTTGTGGGAATTTTTTGTGTATTCTTCTCCTTGTAGGAGGTCATATTTATAACACAACGAAACCTGAATGGGCAAGTAAATAATAAATTCCTAACTCTATTTACAGTAGGAAATCAAGAATTAAAGTAAATCAATTACAATTATAATAGGAATTCTTGGTGTGTAAGGAAAGTAAGTCAATATCCACAAGTCACGCCAACAAAAACCTGCAAACTCTTCCACAACAATGAAAATGGGATTTTGTCAAAATTAAATTCTTACCAATCAATCACTATCATGAGTTTCAAACAGGAATGAGGTGTTGTGATGTCTTTTTTCGATTCTTTAGTGCATTACTTCCTCAAGCACCCATGTTACCACTTCAAGCGTGGACATTCTTGACCAGTCACGATATGCCACACATGATAACTTTTTTACTTGACATACTGTAATTGGTCGAAAATAACAAAACAGTGTTATCCCAATTTCACACAGGTTCTTATGCTTTTTTAGGGTACGCTAGGCATATCGTCTTTGTCATCCAACACCAAAATAGTGAGTGGGTCGGGTGGATATGGACATGAGACTTTACAGCCATTATAAATCAATACTTGCAAGGATGTTTAAATCTTCATGAGCATTGTTGATTTTAATAAGGTTGCATGACAAAGCAAGCAACAACACTCTCCAACTTCCAAACCAGAACCTTCTTCGTATTAAAATAGAAATCAACCTCTTCTTTTTTGTGTGGATACTTAAATTCATCAAATAGTATAGCATATCATCCCACCAAGTAGCCAAATTAGTACCAAAACCCGTTATTGCCGACAATGAACCCACCACCATCCGTACACATCCAACCTTCCTCCTCGAGCTTCCCGCTAACCAGCACAGCCCCAATAGCCTCCGGCGGGGACCAAAGGAAGGTCGCAATCGCCGTCGATTTAAGCGAGGGGAGCGTTTTCGCCTTCCAAGGCCATCTCCAGCCATGGGCTATATCCCAAATATAGCCCTAAATTAATGCAACACCCATCTTCAGCCATGAGCTAAATAAAATTTTGGCCAAATTTGGCTCTTTAGCCTTCCAACCAGGCCGAATGTAGCCCAACTTTGGCCTAGGCCAAATTCATAGTGGACCTCACCATGTGCTTTTCAATCACCAAATATTAAAGCACTCATCCACTTGCCTTATTTAAAGCATTCTCAAAATAATAAAATATGAAGGATCCTAAAATATAGCCTTGCATGGCTGGAGATGGAAAAATTTAGCCCTGCGTTATTCTTTAAAAAATTAATATTTTGGGGGGTTAAATTTTTAGCCATAGGCTACATTTAGCCCTATGGCTAGAGATGGCCTAACAAGCTAAGCTGGGCTATAGCCCAGGAGACTTGTCTTTTTTAAAACTAAAATAATACCCTAGCCTAGGCCAATCTTATTAACTGATCCCCACTAGCTAGGCTGGCTAACCAACCAAAAAAAAACCCAACACTCTTATTGATCGGCTGCACCAGTTCCAAGGCTACTTCTTCTCAACTCTATAGAGGTTTTTTTCCTCCACCTTTGTATTGGGCTATTGTTTTTTGGGGAATTCTAGTGACAATTATGCTAATTTGGAAAATGACTATTTTGAATATATATTATTTTAAATATATGTTATTTTAATAGCGGTATCAGATACGGGGTTTTTGAGGGGTAAGGCTCATTATGTCCCCCATGTATTTTTTTTGTTAGGCTTAAATGCTAAAATGGTTCCTGTGTTTTAGCCCGTTGGCCAATTTAGTCCATGTGTTTTCAATTTGGCTAATTTGGTCCTTGTGTTTCGGACCGTTAGCTAATGTAATCTAATCCGTTAAACTTTTGTTAAAATATTAATAAAAAATATAAATATTTGAATTCAATCTATAAAATAAATAATTATGAAATAAAAATAAGATTTAAAAGCTAAAAGCAATTAAAAACCAAAGGACAACACCATTTCAGCAACACCTTTTCTCCCCAGAAACAACTCACCCACACGCAAAAACCCCAACTCCCCAAGCCACACCCACCCAACCCCACCCCCCCCCCCCCCCCCCCCCTCTCTCTCTCTCTCTCAAGAACAATCCCTAACTCCTGACCATCTCCTAGTAGAATCTTCACCATGCAGTCATCGCCCCACTCCCCCCAACCACATTGCTGAGCAGCCCTGCACCCATCCTGTTTTTTTTTTAATATCTTTTTTCTAAGGGACATTTTAGAAAAAGTAAAAGGAGAGGGAAAATTTTTAAAAGAAGCAAAAATGGACAAAAATGCCCTTATTTATTTTTAGATTTCCTAAGGAATCAAATACATTTGTATGTCTTTGATTTGAAAGTTGAGCGGTTTTTTTTGTCTTTTTTGAAAAAACTTTGGCTTTTTTCCAAAAGTGAAATTTTTTTTATGTCTAAAACCTAAAAAACCTTTTTTCTAATGCTATGTTTTAGTTCTAATGAAGTTTTAATATGTTTTTAAATTAATTTCAACAAAATTTATAGGTTTTCAAAGGAAGAAGAAGAAAAAAAGAATTGTCATGTTTATTTAACGGCAATTTTAACATAATGGGCCACATTGGCTAACAGTGCTAAATACAGGGATCAAATTAGCCAAATTAAAAACACATGGACTAAATTGGCCAACAAGATAAAACACTAGGACTATTTTAGCATTTAAGCCTTTTTGTTATCAATGAAATTCATTTGTACTGTCGAGTTTTCAATAAGTTTGTATGTAAGGTTAGCCTACGTCATTTTCAAATTCTGGGTCCGTCCCTGTTTGGGACTCCGTCCTTCTCCTCCACGTGCGCCCCACGAGCGTCCTCTATGGCGCCGACTGGGGCCCTGTCGACCCCAACCTCCCCAACCACGCCATTTCCTCCTCGGAGTTTATATCCATGACTTGCAACATGATGATCATTGTAAAACATTCTTTTGGCTGTATCTCTATTCTTGTAATGGTGCATGCCAAAAGGAACCTGTGAAAATTCTTTTTGATATGAAACAAACTTATCATGCAACCCAAAGAAGTTTGCTCTACAATTTCCAAGTCCTTTTTCCCATTGCAATTCAACCTCTGTTGAGAAGCAACCCGTTGTGGTGTTTCACCCAATACTCTCCGGGGCGTTCTCCCATACGCACCACTGTTGTGTCCAGAAAAAACCAATGCATTAGCTGCCAAACTTTTACCATGCTCTCAACCCAGACACTATTCTCTACAGCTGGATATCTGTAACTTGGTTGTTCCTTGACCCAGTGCCTTTGTTGATCCCTAGCAGTACGCTGCCTCTTCTGCCACTTCTTTACAAAAAATCTATTTTCTTTTCCATCGTGGGCGCAGGCTCTGCCACTACCAGTCTTGTTATCTTCACAAACACTGCCATTAGAATCTTCAAGTTCGACCTTGCTGCATTGAAGTACAGCAGGGTTGGCTGACCTGAAGATCCTCAAGAAAACTATCACTGCTTACTTCATCAGACCCATGGTTGCTCATCTTTGAACAGTTATTAGAATTCTGAATACCAACTGATGAACAGTTCTGGGTATGATCAGGAAACCCATCACGGGAGCAGATGGGAAGTTTCTTGTCACCATCACATGGGGGATCAGACTTCTTAGCTAACTTCCCTTTCTTCTTATTCCATTTCTTCTTCTTCTTCTTCTCATAAATCTTTCCATCTGGATTATCCGTACATAAAGATATAGGATTGGGTTCAAAATTTTCCCCTTTTTGGTTCATCGCCTTTCCGTTCATATTCTTTAGACGAATCTAATCACACACCAAGAGGGCACACAAAAGAAGAAGGGTTCATTCCATCCTCAAGAAACTTGCACATAGCAATTCAATCTCATCCAGAGAAACCCTAACATACCAAATTTATATGTGGTCTCTTTCTCAAGGAAAAATCCAATCTTTTTTAATAAAATTCATAGAAAGTAAAGGGACAAAATACAAAAAGAGCCACAGAAGATTGAAGGAAAACTATTTTCTGTCGATTATATTTGTAATGAAAAAGAAAATCATAATAGTTGCAGAGAAAGAAGAAGGCGCGTCAAGAGAACGAATTTGAAAAGCAAAAATTAGTTGGGTTCTTTATTGGGGTTTAACGGTTGATTAAGGTTTTAAAACTTCCGTAAGGAAGTGTTATAGTGTGATGGGGGTGCACCACTGTTCATGAGTTTGGCTTTGTATGTTTGCCATCTGTTTGCTACGCTGTCGTTTTTGCTCTGTCCATTTTATGTAGATGAATAAAGAATGATGGCACAATCTTCCAATTCTTTTATCAAACTTCCTTAATTTTTCTCTAATCTCTTTCAAGAAGGGCAACCTTCAAATATTTAATCTCACCAAATAAGAGCATATCTCAAGGGTGAAAAACTCTCATTTTGATTACATTTTAGTCTAGCCGTTAAATCGTCTATTTATGTGGTCCAATTAAAACTCACTCAACGATTGTTCAATTATAGTTTTCGGTCCAATTTTCATTTGTGCAAATGAAGGTTTTCAAATAGAAACAGAAATTTTATCTCCAAAGACTTTGTTCTGAAGCAAGGCTCTTGGAATATATATATAAACAATAATACAATTATCATACCAAATCAAAAGAAGCTATATAAAAATATATAATACATATGACAATTACTTAGAAGGCTCAAACCAAATGACCAAATGGAAAAGGCACATCAAGTGTTTATTTGAAGCTCTTCTTCAGATCTCTTGGAGATGGTTGAAGATGTGGTGCTCTTGGTCTGAGAGGAAGCTGTTGAATTGTTATTGCTCCTTTGATGTGAACTCTGGCTTGAGGATGACTCAGTGAAGAAGATTATGTGCTCCTGGTCGTCTCCAAGGACATGGAGAGACCTTGGTATTGGTGGCAAGTTGACATCTGAAACTCCCTCAAGGATTTGCACCACCTGGCCCATTGATGGCCTATGAGCCTCATCATCTTGAACACACCAGCAAGCAACCCTACAAATCCTTGTGAGCTCTTGTACATCAGCATTTCCATCTAGCCTGAGGTCTAATAGGCTCAGCACATCAGTTTCTGCAGTGCTTATCTGGCTAGCAGCCCAACTTGGGAAGAATCTAACTTTGCCATCTTCAGATTGCTCAGAGTTTCGTCGTCCCGACACGAATTCAAACAGCATCATTCCATAGCTGTAAACATCAGCTTTCACTGTTATCGCCACTCCTGAAATCCACTCTGGTGCAAGATAGCCTCTTGTGCCTCTCATGGTTGTCAGGACCCTGCTGAACTCTCTTCCAACAAGCTTTGCAAGGCCAAAGTCTGCCACTTTTGGACCAAGTTCAGTATCTAAAAGAATGTTTTCTGGCTTTATGTCACAATGTATGATGCAATCTCTGCATTTCTCATGAAGATAAACCAACCCTCTTGCTGTCCCCAGAGCAATTTGGTACCTTGTTTTCCAATCCAAAACATTTGGACGCTTATCATGGAAAAGGTGAGAATCCAATGATCCATTCGGCATGTAATCATAGACCAACATCCTTTTTGTACCTTCAGAGCAGAGCCCGCGAAGCCGGACAAGATTGACATGTTGAATTGTCCCTATTGTGCTCACTTCAGTTCTGAATTGCTTCTCTCCTTGGCTGACACTTTCAAGCTTCTTTACTGCTATGACAGATGAATCAGGCAGGGTCCCTTTGAAAACAGAACCAAAGCCTCCTCCCCCCAATTTTTCTGAGAAGTTCTTTGTTGCATCTTGCAGATCTCTGTACCCAAAGGCCACCAATGAACCCTCTACTGCTTTTCCCTTTCCAGTCACTCTCTTCCTTTGTCTCAAGATTACAACCACAATAAGGCCTAAGAGAACTGCTATTCCAGCAGCTGAGCCTGCCACAACACCAATAATCAATCCCTTATTGCTTTTAGGACTCTTAAACTCGGAAGCTGCAAGTCTGAGGTACAAAGTTATTCCCCGACTATCACTTGATGTGAGTTCTTGCAGATTGAAGAGGTCTCCTATCCAAATTGAACATCCACTGCTATTATAAGCATAAGCAGTGCAAGAGCAATTATTTAAGCAGATTGATTCACATCCAGCAATAGTCTCAACCTTCACAGACTGCTCATTTTCAGGCAATGACATCCCAGGCTTTTTGAGAAACTGGTCTTGCTTCCCGTCAGCACTAGTAGCATTCTCACAATGCAGAGGGGTTTTTCTTTTACACCCACCAGAATAAGCCTGCAAATTCCAATCCCTCTGCAACTTTGGCTCAAAACCTGTCAAACAATTACAGGAGACCGGGCTTACCTCGTTGCAACTGCCGAATGCCCCGCATAAATCATAAACATCACATCGCTTTCCTGGTTTGCTCCAAAAAAAATTCCACTTGCCGGAATTCTCCAACCATGAGAGTTGCTGAATCTGCCCAGAGGTATGCAACACGAATCGAGATATTAACTGAGTATTATAAATATAATAGGTGAAATAACTTTCGTTTTTGTTTTTAACAAAGCTGAAATTGTAGAAATAGTTACGATTCATCTCAGGAACCCCGCTGAAAATACGTAACTTTTCATCCCATGCTCCACTGCTCCAATACTGTCTAGACCTATTCCAAAGTAAGCGATATGCATTACTTCCATTGGGGTCAAGCTCAAGAGTGAAAAGACCTGGTGCAGGATCCTCTGAACTCTTCCATGAAGTGGTGACAGTGTTGAATCCAATTCTAGCTCCTGGTAGCCATGTATGAGTTGGATGATCAAAGCTTTGCCACAAAGGCTCTGATGTATTAGCATTAGACCCAGCAGTTCTTAAGACAAGGTTTCCACTTTTTAAAAGAACTGCTTCTGCAGAACCTGAGGTGGTGGTGGAGGCTAAATTTGTGGACCAAATTGGAGTGTTGGACTCATTAAAGAGAACTAAATTACCATCTGAGATCCTCAAGACTGAAGAAAATCTATCAGAAACTGGTGTTTCCCTATTTGCCACCCAAACTATGGTCTCCGAAGATACTAGTTGTTTAGAGTACCACATGCCTATGTAGTAGTTTGAAGAATTACCTGGTTTGAAGAAACCCAGCTCAAAAACCTTTTCTGCAGAGACAATGGTTTGATCACCAGAGAGAGATTGGTTTGCAGCGATGGTGTCAGCCGCAAGGCAAACATGGGTTTTGAGATGTGGGCATAAGCAAAGAAAAAGCACCAAACTTTGTTTGGTTTTGGCATCCATGGCTGTACAAAACCAATTTGCAGACAAGTTCTAGATAATGTATTGCACCAAGAATTTGAACTTTAAATAAAGGAGGGAGAGGGAGAGAGAGTGGAGTTGATTTTCTATTCTACCCCATGGTTTTGGTCATTTGGTGGAGATTGGACTTGGGCAGCTGTGCGGCAAGTCATCATCGTGCCATTTGTGGCAAAAACTCAAAGATCTTCGAGTTTGTGCCACAAATGGCACGATGATATTTTGTCACATACAGTCTGCAAGTAAAATTTTGTCACCTTTGGAGAAAACCATGTATGAACAGACCATGCAATAAGATTGGACCAGAAAACCATGTATGAACAGAGTTTGATGCCATTTGTAGCTTTGTCAGCCGCAACGGACCAAGTCAATCAATCTGCGTTTCAATTGTTTCATTATTATGGTAATATAGAAATGAACAGCGCCTTACTTACGTTTGAGCAAATTTATATACCTTCTTCAACAGTCAATAAGAATTCAGTCATGACCAATTCTACTATCTACCCACCAACAGATGAACAAAAGTTTGAAACCTGGACCCATTGGCTAGATTTTCCTTTTGTTTTACCGTGTTGGAAAGGCTACACCGTCACTTTCTTTCCTGGATTTGTGCTTTTTTGTTTTTTTTTTTTTTTTTTTTTTTTTTTTTGTGGTGGTTGTAATAACTTGTATCCTTTCTTCCATGGCAGAGGCAAATATTTTTCCAACCAAGGTAACTTGTGGCTGGCGGTTCATCAGATAGAAAATCATCACTGGTTGGGTTCATACGGAAGCAATCTCAGCCGTTCATTTCATCTGTTCTGTTTTTTTGGTGATAAATGTTGAAACCAACCTTAGCACTTGAAGGGAAAAGTCCAATAATAAAGACTCATTCATCGCAGCCCTGCTTGTTGCTAGGTTCTATCTTGACCTCTGGTCAAGCTTTTTTAGCTAGTTGGCAGAAATATAAATATAAGGAGAGCGTTAATTGTGCTCCACCACTACTAACTTAACTTGTGCATTATTGCAGGAGCATGGGAGGTTTAATTAATAGTCTTTGATAGGTCTTCGGGGGCCTCAATGTCTCTTACAATTGGTATATATAAATGATCAATTTGGGATATTTATTAACAAACATGCAGCATAAATATAAATGAACCATACTGCTGATGATGATGTGATAAATCATATAAATTTTCATGTTACTTTTTCAGAATTTAATTTATTTATTTGTTGTCAAAGTTTGGAAAGGGGAATGGAAGGTGTCATTGCGATTTCAACCTGTAATTACTAATATGCTAGCAAATGCTCTTACCACTGAACTACTGACCTGTTGGCATCTTCCCAAAAAATTAGTGAACATAAAATTTGAGATGATATTTGGTGCCTCAAGTCACTGAGAGACTATAATGAGGAGTTTAGAGTAAGCAGCTTATTTGAGTGGTTCAATTCAATCCCACTATCAACATATACTAGGAAACTAATAAATATAATTAGCCTGGAATAAGAAAGCAGGGCTAGGTGTATGTTATTTGTCATTTAACACCAAAATAGTGACTAGGTTATTTGTTTGGACGAAAAAATAGTGAGTAGGTTGGGTGGATATGGACATGAGACTTTACAGCTATTATCCAGCTTCATTATAATTGACATTTTGATAGCTGCCAACAAGCTAGAAAGTAAAAGGCCGTTCGTGTCTAGGTCCTCAAAGGCCTAACTCACAGTGAAAGACAAACTGATCTTACCGTCCCCGTTTCGGCCCAAATGAATCGTTGGCTTCTTGTCCAGCAGCTACAATCCACCAACCTCTCTCTTCCAAGTTTCAACTCAAATCCAATGAGCCCGTTACAAAACTATTTGTAAGCTTCTGATGCTTCCTTCTCAGAATTTACCTCCGTTTAATCAACTAATAACGACATAAGGTTCTGAATCACACGGGCCACACGTATGCATTATTTAATCCAAAACAGACAAACATGTCATTATCAGCTCCTCCCGGCAATGGTTGCAGTTACATCAATTCACAGATAATAAGGAACATAAACATTATCTCTCCGCTGACCATGGGCATCATGAGGCCAATTAAGCATCCCTGTCCCTCACTGACTCATCATCCTCCACTATAAATCAACACTTGCAAGGATGTTTAAATCTTCATGACCATTGTTGATTAAAATAGAAATCAACCTCTGGTTTTTTTGTTTTTTGGTTTTTGGATATTTAGATTCATCAAATAGTATAGCATAACATCCCACCAAGTATCCAAATTAGTAACCAAAAACCGTTATTGCTGCCGACAATGAATCCACCACCGTCCGTAGACATCCAACCTTCCTCCTCGCGCTTCCCGCTAACCAGCGCAGCCCCAACAGCCTCCGGCGGGGACCAGCGGAAGGTCGCGATCGCCGTCGATTTAAGCGAGGAGAGCGCCTTCGCCGTCCAATGGGCCGTACAGAACTACCTCAGGCCAGGGGACTCCGTCGTCCTCCTCCACGTGCGCCCCACGAGCGTCCTCTACGGCGCCGACTGGGGCTCTGTCAGCCCCAACCTCCCCAACGACGCCGTTTCCTCCTCCGAGTCCCGGCAGAAGCTGGAAGACGACTTCGACGCCTTCACCACAACCAAAGCGGCCGACCTGGCCCAGCCTCTGGTGGAGGCTCAAATTCCGTTCAAAATTCACATAGTTAAGGACCACGACATGAAGGAGCGGCTGTGCTTGGAAGTCGAGAGGCTCCGGCTTGGCGTCGTCATTATGGGCAGCCGCGGCTTCGGCGCCGCCAAGCGAGCCGCCAAGGTGGGCCGGCTCGGCAGCGTCACCGATTACTGCGTCCACCACTGTGTTTGCCCAGTTGTGGTGGTGAGGTTTCCGGATGACTCGGACGGGTCCGAACCCAATGGCCCTAACCCGGTCGAGCTCCACCCGGTGCCTGAGGAGGACCACGAGGAGCTCAGTGACGCCGATTCCGGTGAAGAAGACCCTCAAGGTTTGACTGGCTATATATCATCAAATATTTATCATTTACTTGACTGAAAATTGACGTAGTCTGGATAATTTTTATTTATTTTTTGTTCTTCTATGTTTGCAGAAATTGCTTGAGAAGGCAAACAGGGCTGCATGGGTTAAAGGTTGAAGGGTTTTGCATGGGTTAAATCTTATTGTAATTATGAAAGGTGTAAATTGTTCTTTACTTTGCTGCCTCTGTTCTCATAGTAAACTGTAAATTGTGTGTAAAATTACCCTCTCTTTTGATATTGATTTCATGCAAACCAATAACTATACTGTTTGTTCGAGCATCGTTCATTGATCTTGTTCAAAACAAGCAGGATGATGCAATTTCCAACACAACCAACATCTTTGAACAAAAGAAATTCAACCCTTTAACAAACTAATAGGGTGTTTAGAAAGCGCAGAAAAAAAAAGTATCACAAAGTTAATACATAATGCAAACATAGAAATCCAAACACAAACCAAAACCCAACAAAATGTATGAACCACTACAAATCATGAAAATAAAACCTCACATAGCTGCCATGGTTCCCTCGCTCCGACTCCTGCGCATGGAGAGGTCCTGTTTGAGGTTCATAAGTTTGCTGCCCAAATCAAAGTAGTGATGTCGACTATGTGTCGATGCTTTAGTTCCACTGGGAGGGAGGTGCCCATGACGAGCCCTGGACTTCTTCAGCGGCACTACAGATTGATTTCCATGGCCGTGAGTTGATGAAGTTGATGGCCTGTGAGATGATATACCGTGGCTAGCCTTCCTTGGAGCCTTGTGATCTGGTCTAAGGCCACGATCAAACTGGTGGTTACTAATGCCTAACCGCACGGACCGATCTGCAGCATCCTTCAGAGTGCCATTCTTGATCTGCTGCCTGTTGTAGTAAGCCATGTGGGGAAGAAGTCCTTGCAGATACTTCTTCAATTGGTCGTCTCCAACATTCTTCTGAGCTGGGTTTCCTTCCAAGCTGATGGCTTGCAAGGAGTTGTAGTTAGCTGCAAGCTGACCTAGGCACTTTGCTGTCGAGATTTTGTTAAAACGCAGATCCAGAACGGTCAGTTTTAAGAGGCGATGAAGACCCTCCACCTCACTGATTTTGTTTCCAGCCAAGTACAACTCCTTTAGAGAGGAACAAGAAGCTAGGCCTTCAAAAACGGAAAAAAATTAAGTTATGACATGAACTATTCAGGGGTAATAAACAAGAAAGCCAGCAACTTTTTGAGAATTATATAATTCAATGTAAGCACCTACCATGTCCAATTCTCAAAATCCTGTTGTAGCTCAGGTCCAGGACACGAAGTCTTGTGAGTTCACGCAAACCTTCAATGGTAGAAATATTGTTTTTCGACAGATTCAACATATGAAGTCCTCTAGGAAGAGCACCAGCAGTTATCCTCACTGCAGCGAGTATGCAAACATAATGAGCAAAAAAGCATACCGAAAGAACAATGATAAATATTCGAATGGAACAGATGAGTTTAGAGAGGCGAACCTATGGAATTTCCAGATAAATTGACCACCTTCAGATTTACAAAAGCACTAAGAAATGGGATCACTACTAGTCCATGATTTGCCAGGTGAGCTGTGGTGGCAGCTGCACTCAAAGAAGATATATATCTTTTAGCAGCTTCCATGCCAGGAGTGACTTTAGCATCCGTCTTAGCAGCAACCAAACCATTTGAATCACTGGAGTCTCTCTTCACCTGATCATTAGATTGGGGCAATTCATTTGTTTCTTCCAACGGGCTGCTATGCTGAAGATTATTAACCCATTCCTCAATGCGCTTAACCCTAAAATCCTTGCTTGGCAATTCATTCCAACTTTGAACTGAGGATTCTCCTTGGAGGTTTTTCTCCGTGCGTACCTCATCTGTAGCTGGCACTATCCAGTCCTTTGCACAACCAGAGTAGTTACAGGAATCATAACCATCATCAATGGAGTTTTCAAAATTACGGTTCTCAGATTTACCCCCGATATCATCATCCTTTTCTTGTATTACCTGAATTTCAGACTCATGAACTGATATCCCTTTCCGTTGTATGCCTAAGACATGTAGGTCCTCAGAAGATCTTGAATGCACTGGTAAACAGTTAATAGGAGAATGCCCCTCGGTAGTCGGAGAACAAGCACTGATGTTTGCAAAAGAATGTGATTTAACAAGCCCTTGTGGGGCACGAGGTGTATGGTCACCAGAGTCAATACCAAACTCTCCAGATGGTGGAGTATCAGAATTTTCAGGGCCTTCCTTTTCTGTATGTAATGGTTCTCCGATTGAGAAAATTGATTCATTATTGACAATTCCAGAACGTACCTGACAATAGTCTGATGTAGGACTTGTCTGACATTGTTCAGGTGTGCTCTCTCCTCTGTCCCTACTTCCATCTGGTACCACCAATCCATTGGGATCCTGAGAACCATCACAAGAAATTCCTTGATCAGTCTCATCCTCGGCGGCATTGTTAGCAGAAGCCCTCCCCTTCAGGTATAATGCACTTCCTAGTGACCTACTCTTTATAATGCGCCCTGTCTGAGTAACCTTGAGGTCACTTTCTTTAATGAAGCTGCTTTCCATATCACCTGATTTCCAATCAGCTTCAAGAGAAGATACATGCTTTAAACTGCTATTAACTTGAGAAATTCCTTCTGTCTGTGATAGGTTTAAGCTTGTTTTGCCAGATGAGTTCTTCAAAGCTTGATTTTGAGAACAAACTTGTAATGTTTTATGCATTGCTTCAACTGAAGGTTGAAGAGTTTTCTGTTTGAAAAACAAGACTTGGAATCAAAATAAGCCATGAATCATCAAACTAATCATAATAAATCACAAGTGTCGATGACCAAACGTGATGATTGTTCCACTTACCTTAGGTTTGGGGCAATGGACGTGAGCTTGGAAACATGAAAACCTAACCATTACTGGCAAACTACCAGGGCTACATCAACACATTAACTACTTTCGATCACACTGAAAACTATCAACAGCAAACTATTGTGCTCATTATTGTCTGGAAGCTCGAATGAACATGATCTTGTTACGTACACTGAAGAACTACCATCAAGCTTCCAAAAGTTTAACCCTGGATGGCCTTAGCCATAATCAAGCGACAAACCCACTGAAACACGGCACAATCTCCAGATGTGTGATGATCTTGATCTCCTTAAAACACAAAGCAAAATCACTCTCTCATTATTACCCCACACCCTTTTAGAGGTGCGAGAAGAAATTAATTTTGCTGCAGCGGCCAGACTGAAAGAAATTATCGGTCAATTGGGGAACCCCAACCAGAACATACACAAGAGCTGCTGGCCTGAGAAACACAAGGAAAAACAAAAAAGTGACTTCAAAGTATATGTAACGCCCAGGGAAACAATACAGGAATATAACATAATGGGTTATAATTTCAATTTGAGGTACAACAACACAACATGAACTTGCAAGAATCCATGCCAAAAGATGGAGTGAAATCTCATGCTTGCTTGTATACACACTAAAGCTCTAATAAAAGTATAATGTGCTAATCATATAAATTGATCATAAATTCTTTATGTTGTTGTTGCAATATATAAACCAAAAGCAATATATAAAATAATAAAACAATTCGAATGCATAAACAATTAGCTCCTTCAGATGGCTAGATGGGAAAAAGAAAAATAAACATACTTGGAAATGCTCAGTAAGGATAATTAACATTGAAATTGGTGACAAACTGAAAATCAAACACAACCCAATACAGGATAAGTAAAAAAAGAAAAGAAACAACAACAAGAACATGTGTTTGTTATAAATAAGAATAAAAAATCAGAAACCCATAAAAGAAAGATGGAGAAAACGAATTGCAGAAACAAAGATCTGACCTTTCCTTAGCCAGATTGTAATAGAGGGCACGCACTGTAAGAGAAAAAGACCTTGGTTTTCTTCTTCTGCAGCAGAAACTTACAAACTTATTGGAATGCAAATGTTTGTATGTATTAACATATGGTTTTGAATATACGGCGTGAGCTGAAGGCCAAGCCGACTCTTTAACGCTAACCCTAAGCTCGTGGTTGTGATTTATAGGCCCAAATCAACGGCACTGATTTTGTTCTTTTCCCTTTTTTTCCCAATTTTTTTAGGTTTGTTTGGGAGGAAAGAAAATCCTGGAAAGAGGAAAGAAGATGTGGAATTGGAAACTGACTGAATTAGATTCTGTATTTTGTTCACATTTGTTCGGTTAATTTGAGGCTGGCGAAGAATTTGTGCTTCGTATTTTTTTGGTTAAATAAATGAGAGAATTTGCATCCACAAACGCTACGAGCTGTGAGGGCCTATCTACATGCACCGTACCCAAAGGCGCTCTTTCAGCGGTTCTTCTTTCTTTTCTGTTTGTTTGTTTATTTTCCCTTTTTTTCACCCCTTTTTTTTTCCTTCTAGGACATAAAAATGGTTATTTATTTATTATTTATTCTGGTATGTATTTTTTATAATCTATAACACCAATCACATAATGACACGATTGACAGAAAAAATTTAAAAGATAATGTGTATTTCTATTTCGTTTCTTTTCTTTTTTAATCTCCCCACCACAATTGTCATTGCATTGCATTGCAGGTGCCTGATTGTGTTACTTAGGAAATGATTAGATGGACGGTGATGGTTCCAATTCAATTTTAAGATGATTTGGTTGTTCTCTCATTTTCGGTAATTAATATGGCCTACCTTATGTTTATTGACCTTAAATCTTAGAGTTTAGAGCATAAATTCAATTGGAATAGGGGAATTTTAATAACAAACATAGAAATCCAAAGAAATCTCCTTTTCTTGAGGCTCTCTTCCTCCCTTCGGAACTGTTTTTATAGAAAACACTTTGCTCGTAAGTACTTTTCCTCCTTTCGAAACTGTTTTTATAGAAAACACTTTGCTCGTAAGTACTTTGCTAGGAACTCTTTTATTATAAGCACATTGAAATATTGTTAAACATTCACGTAAGCTTTATAACCCATAAGTATTTTTCAGATTTTCCGCCAAAAGCTTTAATTATAGGTTTTTTTGGTTGTCAGAAACATACTTTTAGTCTTTCCAAAAGCATTATTTAACAAGCTTCAACGCGCGGCTGCTTTAGAATATATAATAAAATAGAATTACTCTATTTTTGGGTCAAATGCCCAAAAAATACAATATATCATGGCCCAATAATGAGCCCTGGGTTACTCTGTCTTCGGCCCAATTAGGACCATCCCCATCTTCAACTTCAAGCTCAGGCTAGAGAGAAGCTGTTACCTGACGACGTCGCTATGGCTTCAAAGCTGCTTCTCTTGAGAAGGCTCTCGAGGCTTCTGAAACCTCCATGTTCTGCTTCTTCTTCGACTTTCAGGTCGTCTTTGTACCTTTTAGAAGCTTCGAAATCCCTACATCTCTCTGAGAACAGTCACGGACCTCGTTATTGGATTGATTCTAGAAGCTTCTGTTCTAGCCCTTTGAACCTCAACGATGCTGAAGCCCCCACCGCTATCGATTATCGGTACGTGCCAATTTTTCATCAAACTTTAGCTTCTGTTTGCGTACTAGCAAAAATAAGGAAAGGAAGTTTTGATTTTTTTTAAAAAGGCTATTAAGAAGTTGATGTTGCTTCAACTAAGTTTCGTTTGCATTATTTTTATTAAAAGTTGCAAAATTTGTTTACTTAGTTGTTGATCTATTAGAAATTGTGTAAAGATATTGATTTTTTTGGTGGAAATGGAATTTTAGTTGAAATTGTTGTTTCTTTAGGGGCTTAAAGTGAATGTTGCTGATGAATTGATGTGAACACAGTTCTGTACTGCAGGAGGATGAATTTCACAAGCTAGCTGATACTACAATACATGATCTTCAAGAGAAATTTGAGGTGATTCTTTCCTTCCATTCCTTTTCATGCTGGGTAATTCGAGTTTCAAACACATTATGCATTGGTTTCTTTCTTTTGGTACCTAACACATCATGCACTGTTATTTTGTTATCTTTTCATTGACAATCCTATTTGGACAGGAATATGGAGATAGCGTTCAAGTTGATGGCTTTGACATAGACTATGGGGTGAGAATGGCTGATTGGTGTTTGGAATTGATTAACTAATAAGGAATGTAATTTAACATTTTGTAACTAATTGTGTTTGCATTTGGCAGAATGAGGTGCTGACCTTAAAACTCGGGGATCTCGGCACCTATGTTTTGAACAAACAAACACCAAATAGACAACTTTGGTTGTCTTCCCCAGTGAGGTATGTTTTCTAGTTGTCACTCTTGCTGGTTTCAGGTTTGAGTGTGTGATTGTGTATTTTATGTAGCATTTTAAAAACCAAGATCTGTTGTTGCATTGTGATCTATATGTTGGTGTATCAAAATGTTTGTGAATCTTTTGATACCTTGGGTTCATGCCATTGTTTGGATTGCATCAACTAAATGTACAGTTTCTGTATGAGCAGTTTGGTAACCTGGAAAACTCATTGATTGTGTACTATCATTAAAACTGGATATTCTCAACAGGCAACACTAAATGGGCTGATCTGTCACACCGTACTATGCATATATAGAATGAAATGTGTGAATGAACATCTTTTGATCTTCAAATGATGTGCTTTTGCATGTTTGGTCTTTGAGTTTACATCGGAATCCATGGCTTCTTCGTATTTCCTTGATAGAGGCATTATTTTTGTGCAATTCGTACACACCTTAGCATGTGTTTGTGATTGGAAACTAAACATTTAAACTTGTGATTGAATGATAAAATACAGAATTTAAATGTGATCTTACAATTTTTTAATAGTCTCTAGGTTTTTAGTTGAAGCAATGCAGGTATGAAATTATGCAGGCTTGAATTATGTGATTCTCATGAATGCAAAATCTCCCACAAGATTTGGGAAAGGAAGCTCAAACTAATTTAGGAAATGTTATCTGAAAAATGATTTTCAGAGCCTTGAATGGCATCCCTTAGATCGCAACCTGTGCCCTTCCTCTGCTACCATATAGGTTGTGTGTATGGCAAATCCCATCCATTTGGGCACAGTTTTATTTGTAATCAATCTCAGAAATCAATATTCATGTGCCAATACTCTGAGGGAAGACTTCTTACCATCATGCATCTGCCCAATCTTCTTCGATGCTTTCATGTATAACATGTTTGCAATCTGATGTGTATTGACATTCCTTTTTTACGCTAACTAGACTGCCTGTACCTTTTGAGCCATGTATTTACTGAAGGGGAATGCTTCACAATCCCTCTCATGTCTTTGACATAAAATGCCATGTGATGTAAATTGGGTCTCATGTGATGTAAAATGCCATGTGATGTAAATTTGGTCTCATGTAGTCACCATCTTGACAAGTACCTATACTGATATTGTAAAACCATGATGGGCATTTTTGTGCTCTTTCTCTATCTGCATCTAGCTTATTTATGCTGTTGAGAAATCCACGGCCGGGTTTAATACTCGCTATTTTGCACCGTGCTTAACTAAGTTTTTCTTTCATTTTGCTAAAATATATGTGTTCTTCATGCAGTGGTCCTTTCAGATTTGACTGGGATCGGAATGCTCAAGCTTGGGTTTATAGAAGGACCAAAGCTCATTTATTGAAACTTCTAGAAAGCGAGATGGAGGAACTGTGTGGCGAACCAATCAGCCTTTCATAAACCACCCCAGAAGGTGGCCAATATAGTTTTACTCGGAAATTAATTTCAGTGCTGATAGTTTTACTTCCAGAAAACATTTTGGAGCCCTCCACAGTAGGATGCTTTTGTTCGTGGTGTTTAGTTGTAATCTATCTTGATTAGTTAGTTAATTAATGTGTCAGAAAATTTGTTTGTTTTAAAAACTTGTTTTTGTGATGGCAATTATTCTGTGAATATGGTATAAGATTATGAGCATTCTAATAAGCCACGGATAAGCATGCTTAAGGTTAAGGGGAAGGCACCAGAAGAACTTCATGGCATTCTTTTGAGGCAACAACATTGCAATATTGTTTTTGGTATTAACAAAATTGTAATTTGACTTGTAAGCATAAGTTTTTTTCTGCATTCCGTTGTAAGCAGGAACTCTCACATTCATGTCAATGACAATATAACATGTGTGCAAAAGTTTGTGTTTTTTATGAATTATATATGCACATGTATCAAATTGTGATTTGCATGAATGATGAGTATCTTCTTCCACGGAAGGAGGCAAGCATTATCCGCATCATGCAGAAGCTCCTCCTATTTCCATGGCACTAAACAAAATAAATGATGGAATTGCAAATGAAAAATAAGCAATGTGAAGTTTCATTTCCAAGTCGCAAGGGATTGATGATAGAATTAAGAACTGGTATTTTGTAAGTTGTCCCTTTTGTTTATAGAGAAGGTAGTTTGAAATGAAGCACCTCTTAGTGACATCAATTGATGACTAATAAAAATTTGATTTGGTTGCACTATTTTAAAATAATATTATATTTGGTTGAATAAAAATCCCAATTTGGTTTTGGATTGAGATGAGATAAGATGATTCCTCTCAATCTAATACAACAGTTATTTCTTGTTGATATTAACACACGAATTAGAGGAGGTTTAGCACCTTAACAAGTTAAGTATTTTAATGCAATCCTAGGCTATTATTAGCCTACTAGATTATTATAGCAAAGGGCTTACTTTTCTGTAGTTGGTTTTTATCCTCTCAAAATATGCCTTAGCTTTACCAATTGGGTGGCCAGAAATGAAAGTGGAAAATTTAGATGAACCTCCATTGTTGAATGTGGAACAAAATAGCATTTACCCGAAAACCTTGAAAAAACAAACTTTTAGATATCTTCGACTGTGAATTATTACTTCAAATCTAAAAAATAACTTTAACGTTCTTTCCACGTCAATGTATAAAAGAGCATGAAATTTATAAGAATCATTGAATTCAGAAGACAACGAGGTAGTTACATTCTGACTTATAAGAATCGTCAACTAACCATTGATAAAAGTGAGTCGCATAATCCATCAAGGACACACAATCGTCCAAGTGCACGTGAGCTATTATCGATAAACATCGGTAGTTTAGTTCCACAGTGGAATTTCTTTAGTTACTATACTCTGACATACAGGAATTAAATGACATCTTACAAAGAATGGGGGATGGAAAAACAAGCTTCTTTTGTCACCATCATGGTGTCACGTTTCACCAAGTCCTGGTCAGTAGAATTTCAAGATTAGTAAAAGACCTGCTAGCAGGTCTTTTTACGTTTCTGGTATAGAAATTTCAGAATCGTACAATTACATAGTGCCATACAACCACACAACACAACCATTAATTCCCCCCCAAAAGAAAAAAAAACACCTAAAACAATCCTCCACCACAAGAAAACAATCCTCTTCTTTTCCGTCCGACTAGGTCTCTTCTACTTTACGCCAATTGCCAAGGTTCCTTAATAACAACCCTTAAAAAAGTATTATTGTTAAAAAGGTGATTAGATTAAAGATGATTGGTTGATGAGCATGTGGCCTCTGCTGAGAAGAACAAGTGAGAACCACTCTCAACCACAACCTCTTTACTTGGAGCTTTATTCTTGTTATTATTTATTTGTTTATGCTTAATCTCTCTGATTATGTATAATAGAGGTTTAATGAAGAAACGATTGCCCCACTTGATGTGAAGGCCGGCCTTTAAATAAAACCTGCAATAATATATTATACAGAAGAAAAGATCTTCATTTTCTCCATTAACTAATAATAATCTTCTTTGTTTAAGGTCTTAAGCTCAGATATTTGTTTTGAAAATAATAAACAAACCTGCAAGCAAATATCTATCTACCATTATCCTTTGAGATTAAGAAGAAAACTCCCAAAGACAGAAGATGTAAAGTTGAACCACCATGAAAATAAAATATTTATTAAGTACCCAATTAGGGCCTAACCTCATAACTCACAAAGTTATGACATGGGTGTGTCTAGTAAAAGCTAAAGGCTAATTGGGTACGTGGTTTAGTTGCAACCTATCATGATTCATGCCCAATCAATGTAGCTTGATTTACGCAGACCTCGGTTAGTGTGTTATCTTTGCACTCAAATTCGAAACGATTGTGGAGTTTTTATGGGTGCCCTAGCCTGCAAAGCTCTTGATTGCAAGCGATTAAAGGAATTTTATTTGCCGTAGATGCTAGTTTTTTCTCTCCTCATAGAATTTTGTTTGCTGCAAATGCAATTTATAGGGGAGACAATTTGGGCTGATGTCGTCAACATTGTGGATAATGTGAGAAATTTGTTTACGCATTTTTCTCTGAAAGAAGTTCAATTTTGACTTAGGAAGTGTAACAAAGTGGCTCATGCTATTGCCCATTTTACTTTACACGAACAAGAATTATTATTAGTTAGAAGAAGGTCATGTGTGACTGATGAATTGTATTATTGATGACTTTATTGGAACCAATGCTTTTGATTAATGAAATTTAATTCTTTTTTATATAAAATAAAATTCGATAACTCTCCCTGTAGATTAGATTAGTTTAATTTAGTTATCGTTGTATGGGGGAAAAAAAAACAGTAGCTTGATCTATAACTACTACTAAGAACCAGTCAATCTTACTCAACCTCCCTACTATACAGGGGGAGGGTGCAAGAAGACGTGTGGTTATATGGAGCAAACCTTGGGAATTCAGACAAGTACCCGACCCAACCAATCAATCTCAATTCTCAGCTCACTATTATCATTCACTGGTTTTTGAAATATAACCGTTCAAAGGCACATTCAAAGGTCCCAAATTCCCAATCTAAGACTAAAGGAACCAACCATTTCTATGGAGCATGGTTTATCCGCGTGCCACAGAATTGGCCATGGCATTTTCTGACACCTGCCATGCCTAAAGGAAAGGCCATCACGCCACCTCCATCAAAGTGCACAGACAGACCCTATCAGACTCGGTCTTTTACTCCACACCACACATTTATGTGCCTCCACCACATTCTACTGCCACAGCCATACATTCTTACACATTAAAAATAATAATAATAAAAAAATCAAAATTTCCAAAGACGCGTGAAAGTATTTTTGAAAACAACTTATTTAGTTTCACTGTTTCTTGCGCTCTAATGAGAATTATTAAAGTTTTAAACACATGCTTTAAACAAAAAATTCATTTAACTATCAAATTTGTTACAAATCATTTGTGGGTAGATTTCTACGTACTACCATGTTTTCACTATTTTTTTAATACAAGTGATATTGGGGGTGGAGATTTGTACACAAGATAACATATTTTTTTTATACAAGTGATATTGGGGGTGGAGATTCGAACACAAACACTAGTAACTACTCTTAATTATTGATCTACAAAATCATTTTACTTTCCAATTAATGGCACGTTAAGAACGTGACACCCTAATTAAAAGGAAGAAAAAATCCAAGCAAGAAAAAAGGAAATTAAATTAAAAAGAAACACAAAGATTCCATTTCCATACGCCAAAAAGAGTTTCTTTACAATATATGGCACGACACGAAAATGAAGAATCAGAATTACTATCGCGGTTAAAATAAGAAAAAAAATTAAAACAAATTGTCTGACTAATACAAATTTAACTACTGGTCAAATCAGGATCAGTTGAGACTGTTGTTAGGTAAGTAAAAAGAATTATCATCATAAACTACCTCATATCCGACGGCCAGGACGCTCCGAAGCGTCAAGATCGAAGGCTATCTTCCCGGCGATATATCATCTTCGACTCAATAACGGGTTCGGACGGCGAACCCGGCCCGTTTAGATCGATTCTCCGGTCTGTTCGTGGTCGCGAGGAGTCAAACGAAGTGGCTCCGCCGTCGGGTTCGGGCCGACTCGCTTGAGCTGCCGAAACTGAGCCGTACCTCCGTCGAGAAGATGAACGGTCGAGATCGTCCTGTGATAGAAGCACGCACGAATCTTAACCGTTGTAAAACGGGAATCGAAGACAGTTTTGAAAGAAAATAACGAAAACAGAGCAAAACGTACCTGAGAGCGAAGATCCGAAGCCGTTTCTCTGATTCGCTTCAACGAAACGGTGGTGGCCGTTTTGGGACCTTCTGTATCGCCATTGTTTAACGCACTCGCAGCCTCTTCGCTGCTCGATGAGCTCGGCGACGGTGGAGGCGGGGTCGTCGAAGACCACGGCACCACCTGATTATCTCCGTCCTCATCAAAATCATCATCATCATCATCATCTGGATCGTTATCGGAGTCATATTCATTATCATTGCCGCCTTGGCTCTCTTCGTCTTCGTCTTCGTCTCTGCTTTCATCTCTGACCACACAGCTCTCGCACACGGAAAACGTATGGCCGAGCTTTTCACCGGAGGCCTTCCAAGGCGTCGGAGACTGGCACGCGTGGCAGAGGAGGCTCCTAGAGTGCCTCGCCACCAAGAAATTGGCACCGTGAACCTTGGCGTCGCAGTCCCAGCACAAAATCGCCTGGTCCGATTCGCAATAGGTTCTTGCAGGAAGCTGGCACAGCTCGCAGTTCTTCATCTCTCTTGCAAAAGGACTCAAAGTCCGTCTTGAGTTTTCAGATTTTTTTCTCTCAGTTTCTCTGTGTTTTCTCGGAATTTTATTCCCTCTTGTACGGGATGGGTGGGAAAGAAGAGAGAAGGAAGGAAAGGACCACTTGCAGTGTTTTATAGCAACAACCTTGCTTTTGCCTTTAATAACGATTTTACCAAGGTACAAGTTTTTGACGTATCATCTTCTCAACCTGCAAACATTACACCAATGGTAAATGGAAGATAAGTAATACAAAAAAACATTTACCTCGATTGCGAATGATTGGACGTATTTAATTTTACTTTTAAACTTTGAGCTTGATAATGAAGTTGTTGCTCGAATTTAATCAACTTTCTACGGTAATCGCAAAAAATCTATTTTACGCAATGTATGTAATTTGCAGGTAATTGCACGGATATGAAATTTACTTATTCGGTGAGGAAATGGAAGGTGATACTGGTGAAAAAAAAGAAAATCTTGTCATCCAATTCCATAAAATTGACCAAAATTTAAGTCCAATTTCTTTTCAACGAGAGAGAAGAAAGGAAAAGAAATTGATTTGAATACCAAGTAAACGAGGGTAAAAAAGTCATTATTTGATTGTAAATGGACGCTAACGACCCAGAACCTCTTGGGTTGTGTGTGAGAACACCACCACAATGGTCCAAAGGTTGAAAGGTTGAGAGAGAGGACCAAAAGCTGAGGCTGTGGTGCTTCGCGGTGCCAGGTGTCGGCTTCTGAGGGAACAAAAGCTTTATGTGGTCTGAATATATCCTGAGGGGCCCTTCGGTCTTTGCCTCTTCGGTTGGTGCAGCCCTTGCAGGATATTTTTTAAATCGTTGGTTCGCATGGCTGACATGTCGTCCAGGTGGCAGATATCAATGTGGGAGATTCTATTCGCTTACGTGTCGTCATTTGGGCCATCGAACCACGTGGGTCTTCGCACCTGCAACTGATTTTCTATGTATTACGTGTACACTGGGCCCCAACCCGTGCGATTTTCAGCCCTGCATTTCGCGGCTCCGAATGATGTCCACCTCTAATTCTTATGATCGCTTTGATTAAAAATTTTATAAGATATTTTATGAATGAATAAATAAATAAATAAAGTAAAAGATAAGACTCATGAAGTCCACGCGCCCAACATGCCATTCGCCAGTTCTCCTCGGTCTAGAATGAATGACAATCAACGAGTGGCTGGTTATTCTGCAATAACACGACTCGTCGTTTATTGGGAAATAGATATAACTGTACACTAGGAGTAGGTATGGTTCGAGCCGGCTCGGTTTTGGATTCAAATCGGCTACCGAACTGGTCCAGTCGTAAGGCCAAATCTGTAATCTAAATCCAACAATAAGGCCCATTTTGATCAAAATTAGTAAACTGGGCCTAGGTGTTTGGAACGGTCATATCTCGTTTTTGGCTAAGGTCCAATAGTTTTAATAAGACATGTTTTCTAGTAATAAGGCTAGAAGAATGATAGGTTATAATAAGAGGTTTCTTAATAACCGTCAAATTATTATCGGACTGTTGAATTGAACCCCTTAACATAACTCCTCATTATAGAAGCTCTATGTTTTCTAGTTTGTAATTTTTGCAGTTTTAAGGCCCAAATTTAATAAGGCCACAAATAATTCAAGCCACCACCCAATTTACAGGTTTTTCTTACTGATCCTGATATAGATTCACTATTTCATATTGCCATTAGAAAATTGAAAAATCCACAACAATTACAGCCTGGATATCTGTGAAGTTCAAATAAAGACCAAAGAAGAAGGCTATAAGCTGCAAAGTTCATAGTTCAACAATGTATATCATTCATCAACTTCAACTCTTTTGATCAGTACATGTAATTGGTTCATCTTTTCCCCTTTTAGCTATTTAAAACGATAGTCACCGTTGGATGTACAATGTATGTCTTACAAGGTTGTATTTCATGGTGGGTAAGGTTGAGCCTAATCTACAAATGCATCTATTTTTAATCAGTTATCATATCCGAATTGTATTTATACGGTCAAATTCAACTTATCAATCTATATCTTGTAAACATCAAATTTGCATCGAATCAGATTATTATCGTGTTCATTTTAAATCTTTCCATAATAACGAAATGATAACGCTAATCCAATCCATATGTTGTTTTAACGACTGACAAATATGGAGTGGGCTAAACTTTACTTCACTGGCAAACAATGCTGGGCCAAAACCAACAAAGAAAGGTAAAAGGAAGAAGGAAAGAAGGACGTCGTCAACCGCAGGGTTCGAAGCTGCATGATCCAAAAAATTTATCAAAATCTCAAAAATTGAAAGCAAAATTTGATTTTCAGAGGGAAGAAAAGTCAGCGATAATGGGAAATTTTGAAATATATGAAGTAGGACAAAGGAATTTGAGCCTTAAGAAATTTACAAATAACAAAATGAGAGGGAGGGAGATAAATGAAAGTAAATCAGTGGACACAAAGAAAAGATGCAATAAAACCAAACTCAGACGACCTTGACTCGACATTGAGCCAGCTACTACTATTCAATCATGCAGCTTCCTCTAAAGTCATATGAAAACATTGAGTGATTGCTACAGGAATAACATTTTCTGCTTTGGCTGGTATATCAAGTGTTTGTTCTAGGTGCAAATTGCAGAGCACTATTGGCCTAAACCTCACATTTTCTGATACTAAACAAGGGAAACAAATGAAGGTTGATACGACTACCAGTAGACTCCCTCGAGCCAAGCACATGTGTTTGGCTCCCTGTATTATGTTTATTTCCAACCTTTCATGGTTTGCAAGTCGCATGCTATCTTCCATCTTCTCCTCCTATGCGTTACTCTTGTTGTGCTTTTCTCACCACCTGTTTTGCTCTGCTACTGCTAGAGATACTCTAACGTCACGTGACGATCCAATTAGGGACGACGGATCAGAAGGTCTTGTTTCAGCTGGAGGAAGATTTGAACTGGGATTCTTTACACCTTCATCTACAGGAGCAGGAAGGTCTGGCAATGGAAAATATGTTGGTATATGGTATCATCAACTGACTCCAAGGACAATTGTATGGGTTTCCAACAGAGTAAAGCCAGTTCCTGCCAATTCCACTGGAGTTTTTGCAATCAAAGAAAGTACCCTTCATGTGTGGGATCCAAGTACTGGAGTGTCTTATTGGTCAGCAGAGAAGGTAACCTCCTCTTCTGCTCTCAACCCGATGGTGAAGCTCATGGATTCTGGGAACCTGGTGTTAAGTGATGGTGACGATCGGGTGGCTGTGAATAATATTTTGTGGCAGAGCTTTCAAAATCCAACTGATACATTCATTCCTGGTATGAAAATGGATAACGACATGGAATTGACTTCATGGAGAGGTGAAGACGACCCAGGATTTGGGAACTTCACCTTCAAACTAAATGTAGCAGAAGACAACCAGAATCAGTATATGATCACAAAATCAAAATCGATTGCTTACTGGAAAAGTCGAGAACCAGGAATTGGTACATTTGTCATTTCAGATGAAATACCTCCAGAAGTTGCTTACTTATTATCAAATTTCAGCCAGAGTTATTTTAAAAAAAAACCTCCTCCAGGATTTTCAATTCTACAAGTAGGAAGTCTTATAAGGGCATAGCAATTCTGAATCGGACAGAATACAATCATACAAGATTGGTGATGGATTTTAAGGGGAATATACAGTTTTGGAGGTGGCTTAAGAATAATTGGATTAGGATATGGTCAGAGCCAAAAGATCAATGCAGTGTGTTTAATGCTTGTGGGAACTTTGGCAGCTGTAATATGAATAATTGGCCGTCAGTGTGCAAATGCTTGCCAGGCTTCAAACCCACGTCTCTAGATAAATGGAAGTCTTGGGACTTTTCTGATGGATGCACAAGAGGGCCACCATTATGTCACAACAACGAAACATTCTCCACTTTAAAGATGATGAAGGTGGGAAACCCAGACATACAAAATTATGTTAGCAATGAACCAGAATGCAAGAACACCTGCCTCGAGAACTGCCAGTGTATTGCTTACTCATATGCTGAAGCTCGTAAAACAAGGGGAAAGGATGCTTATACTTCTACGTGCTGGATATGGGACTCGCAGAATCTAGATAGTCTTCAAGAAGAGTATGCTGACGGCCGAAACCTCTCTGTTCGCGTTTTCTTGGCTGATTTAGGTATTCTACTTCTCTATTGTCTTTCACTTCTTCCTATGTTCGTGTACACAATCATATTGGCTATTATTATCTGCTAAAGCTAGCTAGCTACTGATGCAGGATGCGTATGACCTAAATTTATTAGTTTCCTAATGTATTTGTTTGTTTCCTAGATTCTCTAGTTTTCCAATTACTAGTAGGATTTCTACTTTTCCAGATTTCCATATTTCTAGTTTTAAGTTTCCTATTTTATTTGGGTTAGGATTTCTGTTTAAGTAAGGGATTTTTATCCTATTATTTCTAGGTTTTAGTTTGTTATAAATAACTCCATGTAGTTCTTTAAAATTAAGATTTGAATGTTGAGTAAACCTTTTCCTAGAACTCTCTAATTTCGTATATTCGATCTATATTTTCTTCTCCTCGATCTTCAATATTCTTCTTTGTTCTACAGTTTCTGCCCTTTATCTCGTCTTTTCGATCTATATTTCTTCTCCTCGATCCCTTATATTCTTCCATGTTCGATTGTTTAAGTGCTTAATCTAATACCTATGGGCTGTATTACATCAATTGGTATTTAGAGCCTGGTTGCTCCACCGTTGTTCCTCTGCTTCGTTACTTTTACTTGTCACCATGGCTCCCAACATCACCGTTGCTAATTTGGCTGCACAACATCAGGAATTCCAGGTGAAAATTTCTGCGGATGTCACCAAATTGACGGCTGATCAAAAGACTGAATTTTTGTCCATGCCAACAGATATTGCCAAGTTACAAGCTTCCGTGACGTTAATTGTCAACAACATCACAACCTCAAAACCTGAGCCATCCTCCACATGTGTTGTTCGATCTGGTCCGTTTACACCTTCTCCATAGGCTAGTCTCCTTCCCAACCCGTCTCTGGATTCCAAGTTCCAAGGCCACCTGGGCCTTCCATCATCTTCTGCAGGGACGTCCATGGTTTCACCCGAACCAACTTATGCTGTGGGATTTGCACCTAAACCACATTATACCCAACATACAATGGGTTTTCCTCTGGTGGACGCTACCATCCCTCCCCTGTCGTCCTGATCCCACGAATAGAACGTTGTCCACAGAAACTTGGGTTTTGAGATCGCCCGTCATGCCAAGCCTACCGCTCCTGACTTCGATGGACGTAGGGATCCTACTATCTTTGTTGATTGGATATTGGCTATGGAAGATTATTTTGAATGGTATGATATGTCCGATGCACAACAGATTCAGTTTGCCAAACTCAAATTGGTAGGAGCCGTAAAGCAATATTGGAAGGCTACTGAGCACCATCGTCAACAACTTGGACAAACCCCTGTGATTTTATGGGATAAGATGAAATTGAAACTCCGGGAACAATACCTTCCATCTTTTTATCGTCACCAATTGTTAGATTAATCATGGACTCTTTCCTAGGGTACTTCAATAGTCCATGACTATTATTCCCGCTTTGTGGAGCACAAATTGCGTTCTGCTGTGTAGGAAGAGCTCATAGTTACAGTTTCTCATTTTATTCATGGGCTCAAGGATGATCTCAAACACGAGGTAAATAGTTCATGTCCGGATGTGTTGGAGGACGCCTATTGCCAAGCCTTGGAAGTTGAGACATATTTGTCGCCACAACATTCAGGGTACTCTGGTCAACTTGCAACTGCCAACCTAACTCACACCACTACGAGTATGAAGATGGGGTTTCCAGGACCATCTAACCCTACTACACCGCCACTTAACAAAGGACCGGTTGTTTTCACTAATGCTCGCGTTGAATGTTTCAATTGCCATGCCAAAGGACATATTGCCTCTCGTTGTTCGCAGCGAACTTTAACTATCAACACTCTTGCTTGTGAGAATGTGGAGCCTCTCGAAGGTGTCTATGATCCAGACATCGACGATTGCTGACCCTAGTCCCCTGTTATTCATACTAGCAGTCGGAGCTGTTGTTGTTAATTTACATTTTGTGGTTGTTTACGCGTCAGAGTCGAGTTCTTTTCACAGGGAGAGAATGATGCAGGACACGTAGGACCTAAATTTATTAGTTTCCTAATGTATTTGTTTGTTTCCTAGATTCTCTAGTTTTCCAATTACTAGTAGGATTTCTACTTTTCCAGATTTCCATATTTCTAGTTTTAAGCTTCCTATTTTATTTGGGTTAGGATTTTTGTTTAAGCAAGAGATTTTATCCAATTATTTCTAGGTTTTAGTTTGCTATATATAACCCCATGTAGTTCTTTAAAATTCAGATTTGAATGTTGAGTAAACTTTTCCTAGAACTCTCTGATTTCGTCCCTTCGATCTATATTTTCTTCTCCTCGATCTCTGATATTCTTCTTTGTTCTATTGTTTCTGCCCTTTATCTCATCTTTTTGATCTATATTTCTTCTTCTCGATCTCTTATATTCTTCTATGTTCGATTGTTTAAGTGCTTAATCTAATACCTACGGGCTATACTACATCAGCTACATATCCAAAATTTATCAAATTAATGTACGGCGAGAACTACTTATGACACCTTGTGCAGAATCAACCGTAAGAGACTGCGAACCTTGTGGCACAACCATGATTCCTTATCCCCTGAGCATCCGACCGGGTTGTGGTGATCCCGTGTATTTTCATTTCAAACATCGCCTCCACAGGCCAGGTTAGCTTCATGGGACCAAGTGGCTATGGGACCTATAGAGTTATTAGCGTAAATCCAAGGACAAAAGAATTTCTCATAACTGTAGACAACTGCGATCCTAGAAACCGAGGCGAAGACCAGGAGCTGAACCAGCTGCCATTTAGGGTAATCAAGGGGTGCCATGCAAACGTGGGAAACTTTAGTTCTGACGATTCATCCAGCGGTTCCCGGGTAATAGAGATGGGTTGGGATCCACCCCTTGAACCAACCTGTGCTACATCTGCAGACTGTAGGGGTTGGCCACATTCAACTTGCAATCCAGCAAAAGATGGAAAGAAAAGATGCCGTTGCAATGCATACTTTCGATGGAATGGCTTTAACTTGAATTGTACTCAAGGTGAGAATATCATGTTAGGGTGTGCCTGAAGGGTTTGGGCATTATCTACTGAAAGATTTGAGTGGGGTTGCTAGACCCAGAAGTTTGCTTATGTAGTTTTTTTTACTGAGCTTCGGCTCCCTTAGAACCCACAAAAAAGAAAAAAAGAAAAAAAGAAAAAAAAGAATATCATGTTAGGCATATAATTGCAATGATGCATGTGCCTCTTGCAAATTCATATTTCCTATTGAGATCCAGCAGTGCTGCCAAAGATGATGGTATTAGCAGCGCTAAGTAAGGAGTGCTTTCATTGTGATTTAATTTTTTTCCCATTAGCTGAACCATTTTATTCAGATTTTGCTAATAAACTGTGACGGTCAAACCCTCCAGCACTTTTGAACTGAGGATGAATTCTGCTTGTGTTCCAAGGGAGAACAAAAAGAAGTAAATCCCATAAGTTCTTAGGTGCTTCCTATACTTTTCAAAATCCTGTTTTAACAAAATCTTCATTAAATAAACGTATCACATATTGTGATAATCTATTTTAGATTAATTTAAAAATCATAATTGAGAAAGGAACTGAAACCAAGTAGAGTTGGACTGAATCCAAATATTTATTGGCTTATTATCACTGAATTATGCCGTTTTAAATGATAGTAAATAACACATACATTGTCATTGCTTTCTTGTTGAAGGCGGTCTTCAAGTAGAGCCATCTAAACCGCCACTAGAAGAGCATTCAAGAAGACAAATACCATTGTCTCTTATAGTTGTGGCAGTGCTTGTTAGCATCATTTTTGTGGCATGCATCATTTCCATTTATATATGGAGAAGAAAGATGACCAGTAAACGAGGTAACCACTTTGCTATATGCACCACACGCACAAACAAACATCTGCAGAATTGTTTCTATTGAATGAGAATAAAACTCTTCAATTCCATGTATTAGATCAAATAAGTCGAGGACGGTTTGATAGTGAAAGACGACTCAAAGAGTTGATAGAGACAAGTGACTTCACGGAAGAAGAAGGTATAGATGTCCCCCTTTTCGATTTGCAAATCATACTAGATGCTACGGATAATTTCTCAGATGCAAACAAGCTTGGACAAGGGGGCTATGGGCCTGTTTATAAGGTAATTTAGGAAGACTTGTTTGCCATTTCTTAGCAACTGAATCACTTTAGCAATAATTATTTTTTTAAATAAAAAAAAAAAAAAAAAAAAAAAAAAAAAAAAAAAAATTGTTCATTAATATTCTATGTTAGTGTAAATTTGTCTAAGGGATTCTGTTGCCAGGGCAAGTTCCTTGGAGGTCAAGAAATTGCAATAAAGAGGCTATCAAGGGTTTCAGGACAGGGTTTACAGGAATTTAAGAATGAGGTGGTGCTGATTGCCAAACTTCAACATCGAAACCTTGTTAGACTTAAGGGATATTGCATGAAAGGAGAAGAAAAGATTTTACTCTATGAGTACATGCCTAACAAAAGCTTAGACTCCTTTATATTTGGTTCGTTCCTGGTACTCATTTCAATATGTTTAAGGCACAAAATATTGTTTGTTTGGTTGACTAATTGGTGATCTATCAAAGCCACTAAGTTTTTCTCTAAATGGAAAATTTAACTTTGCAGATCGTACTAAAAAAATGTTTCTCAATTGGGAGATGCGCTTTAACATCATTTTGGGAATCGCTCGAGGACTTCTTTATCTTCATCAAGATTCCAGATTGAGGATCATTCACAGAGATTTGAAAACTAGCAATATTCTCTTAGACGAGGAGATGAATCCCAAAATATCTGACTTCGGCTTGGCCAGGATTGTTGGAGGCAAAGAAACTGAGTCAAGTACAAACACAGTAGTTGGAACTTAGTAAGTTTTGTGTGGACGATTTATTTTCAGAGTGGATGTTTCACTCGTTGTGGCACAAATTACAATTCCCTGCCCCTTTTAGAATAAAGTTCTTTGGTTCTTGCCTAATACCTGAGTGTTATAAGAATTCGTGATGCAGTGGTTACATGTCTCCGGAGTACGCATCAGATGGAACTTTCTCAGTGAAATCGGATGTGTTTAGCTTTGGTGTGGTTGTTCTTGAGATAATCAGTGGAAAAAAGAACACAGGATTGTACCAATCCAAACAAACTTTCAGCCTCATAAATCATGTAAGTGCGTTGAATCTTTCATATCCGTTTAACCACATGTTATAGTCCACTATTTTTGAATGTTAAAATTTTCTCAGGCATGGAGATTATGGACAGAGAACAAGGTGTTGGATTTAACGGACAATAATTTGGATGAAAGTTGCAACAAAAGTCAATTCATCAAGTGTGTAAATGTTGGGCTCTTATGTGTACAAGAAGACCCTGTTGACCGTCCCACCATGTCAAATGTTCTTACCATGCTTGACAGTGAAATTGCAATCCCTCCAACTCCCAAGCAACCAGCTTTTGTCATGAGGAGAGGCAACAGCTCTAGCACAGCTTCTTCTTCTACTAAGCCAGAAACATTTGGTGAGATAACTACTACAGTAGTAGAAGGTAGATAATTAAAGCATGGTAAGAGGCTGTAATTATCCCTTTTATAAGCAAACTTTTTTATCTCTTATTTTTCTTTATATTCAACTGTAATTTTTCCTTTGTGATGCTTAATTGATTAAATACTTTGGTGGATAAGTCTACGCCAAACACGGTAATTGTAAAAGCCCTCTCTACTGTTATGTTGGTCATTAAAATTTGACTTCTTTGTAATGTGACTTGGATTGGATTCATTGTGTGTGTTTTTTTTCTTCGTGGATTTATCAGTTGACTGAGTCAGTTCAAGGTTAACATACATGCACTAAGAGGTGGAGATCAAGAGGCTGAAAGAGGAGAGTGTTAAAATCACTAGCCTAAAAGTAACCAGCAATCACGTAAGTGAGTTAAGGCCAGTTTAGATGGGATAGTGAACTTGCGATACTTTAAAACCATCGCTTGTATAAAAAAGAAAAAAAATAAAAGTAAACATCATCAATAAGTAAGGAAACATGTAAACACGTAAAAGCAGTACCAAAAAAGTGAGAGTAATTTCAGAGGCACATGGAAACTAGACTGAACAACACCAGGTTCCCAGCATCCATAAAGCCTCACCGTCAAATTTAAAGACTTGGCCATGGGTGTTTGAAGCCCCGTTGACCAATAAGACTCATCAGTAAAACTATCCAACACTTGGAGGTTACCTTGTTTGATTGCAAAAACTCAAGTTCTAGTTGAATTTACAACAACTAGCTTTTCTCTGTTACCAACCCAAACAACTGTCCTTGGACTCAGATTGTGATACCAAATGCCAACATATCTTCTGTCAAGGCCATCGAACCACGTGGGTCTTTGCACCTGCAACTGATTTTCTATGTATTAAGTGTACACTGGGCCCCAACCCGAGCGATTTTCAGCCCTGCATTTCACCGCTCCGAATGATGTCCACCTCTAATTCTTGTGGTTGCTTTGATTAAAAAATTTATAAGATATTTTAGGAATGAATAAATAAATAAAGTAAACGATAAGACTCGTGAAGTCCACGCGCTGCAATAACACGACTCGTCATTTATTGAGAAATAGATATAACCTGTACATTAGGGGTAGGTATGGTTCGAGTTGGTTTGGTTTTGGATTCAAATCGGCTACCGAACCGGTCCAGTAGTAAGGCCAAATATGTAATCGAAATCCAACAATAAGACCCATTTTGATCAAAATTGGTAAACTAGGCCTTTGGGACGGTCATATCTCATTTTCGGCTAAGGCCCAATAGTTTTAATAAGACATGTTTTCTAGTAAGAAGGCTAGAAAAATGATAGGTTATAATAAGAAGGTTCTTAATAGTCGTCAAGTTATTATCGGATTGTTGGATTGAATCCCTTAACATAACTCCTCATTATAGAAGCTCCCTGTTTTCTAGTTTGTATTTTTTGCAGTTTTAAGGCCCAAATTTAGTAAGGCCACAAATAATTCAAGCCACCCAGTTTACAGGTTTTTCTTACTGAACCTGATATAGATTCACTATTTCATATTGCCATTAGAAAATTGAAAAATCCACAACAATCTCAGCCTGGATATCTGTAAAGTTCAAATAAAGACCAAAGAAGAAGGCTATAAGCTGCAAAGTTCATAGTTCAACAATGTATATCATTCATCAACTTCAACTCTTTTGATCAGTACATGTAATTGGTTCATCTTTTCCCCTTTTAGCTATTTAAAATGATAATCACCGTTGGATCTACAATGTCTGTCATACAAGGTTGTATTTCATGGCGGGTAAGGTTGAGCCTAATCTACAAATGCATCTATTTTTAATTGGTTATCATATCCGAATGGTATTTATACGGTCAAATTCAATTTATCAATCTATATCTGGTAAACATCAAATTTGCATTGAATCAGATTATTATCGTATTCATTTTAAATGTTTCCATAATAACGAAATGATAACCCTAATCCAAGCATATGTTTTTTTAACAACTTGCAAATATGGAGTGGGCTAAACGTTACTTCACTCGCAAACAATGCTGGGCCAAAACCAACAAAGAAACATAAAAGGAAGAAGGAAAGCAGAACGTCGTCAACAGCAGGGTTCGAAGCTGCATGACCGAAGCCCAGCCCAACAGAAATGCGGTAGCATCCAAAAAATTTATCAAAATCTCAAAAATTGAAAGCAAAATTTGATTTTCAGAGGGAAGAAAAGCCAGCGATAATGGGGCTCCAGCCGCTTGGTTCGCCATCATCCTTGTGGTCGTGGTTTGCTTCTCGACGGCATCGGAGTGAGGTGGTGTGTACGGCGCAGCCATGGACGACGAGATACTCACTCGCCCGTCGCCGCAACGTTCTTGATTTACCATTGGTATGCTCCTGCTTGCTTAATCCGCTTATTTTCTTGCTCTGTAAAAAACAAAAATTAAAGTGCTTTGGAAATTATTACTTGTCATTTAATTTTGATTCACATAATTGTCAAGAGAAAAAAAAATCAATTTCTTAATATATTTTAAACCATATTAAGTGAGTTAAGGCCTGTTTAGATAGGATAGTGAAACGATACTTTAAACCATCGCTTGTATAAAGAAGAAAAAAAGAAAAAGTAAACATCATCAATAAGTAAGGCAACATGTAAACACGTAAAAGCAGTACCAAAAAAGTGAGAGTGGGTGTTTGAAGCCCGGAATCCATAACTAAGGCAACATGTAAACATGTAAACAGAGGCACATGGAAACTAGACTGAAAAACACCAGGTTCCCAGAATCCATAAGCCTCACCGTCAAATTTAAAGACTTGGGTGTTTGAAGCCCTGTTGACCAATAAGACTCATCAATAAAACTATCCAACACTTGGAGGTTACCTTGTTTGATTGCAAAAACTCAAGTTCTAGTTGAATTTACAACAACTAGCTTTTCTCTGTTACCAACCCCAAACAACTGTCCTTGGACTCAGATTGTGATACCAAATGCCAACATATCTTCTGTCAAGGCCAGAGCTTTGTGCAGATGAAATTCAAGGGGTACTAAAGAAATTATTTGTCAGTGAGATGGAATGAATTAAAATTCCTAAGAGATTGAAAAAAGCTTTGTAAGACCCAAAATGGGTGGAAGTTCCGCAACCTAGAGGTTTCGAGGCCTTAAAAAGAATGGAACATGGGAGATAGTTCCGCAACCTAAAGGAACCGTTGTTGATGGTTGTGTCATTGATAATATCATTTTTTTGAATGGGCGATATTTTAGTCCATATCCACTTACCAATATTACCGATAATATCGCGACTGAAACTGAAAAATAAACGAAATTTGTTGAGAAATGGCACTTTTGCCAACAAGGGGATTCGAACCCCTCACTTTCCCATCCTTCTACTGGGGCTTATCCAACACACTGCAAATGAGTTTGTTAATAAAGTTACGACGTGTAATATTTATATGGTCTTTAAAATTTCTGCAAGCTAATATTATCTAGGATAAATTCCATTTAGATATGTGGTACTATGTCACATCCTAGACCGACTCCGTCGTAACATGATATTGTCCGCTTTGGGCCCCCCTTTATGCCATTACGGTTTTGTTTCTGAGAACTCACGAGCAACTTCCCAGTAGGTCATCCATCCTGAGATTGCTTTAGCCCTAACTTGCTTAACTTCGGAGTTCTCATGACTTCGAAGCCAGTGAGCTCCTAAAAGACCTCATGCTAGATGGAGGTGAGTATGTACATATAAGGCACATCACCCCCTCTCTGTTGGTCGATGTGGGATGTTACATGAGTGTTACAAAAATGGCCCGGTGATCTTTACCACTAGCACTCAGCTACAAGTACATTATCTCCTATCAAATAGATAACTCTTTCTTAGACTAATTTTATCAATACACAAGGCTATGTACCAATATTTTACTAAAAGTTGATGCATTATGGACTCAGCTGAATGATTGAAAAAAAGGTAGTTGGCCCAATGTTTAGGTTTAGGTCGTCTGCTTCATATATATTATTTTTTTTATGTGTCCACTACTTTCACTTTTATTGCTTTTTTATTTTATTTATTTTATGTGTCCACTACTTTACTTTTATTGCTTCTTTGCTTGTTATGTTATGTGTAGAGGTGTCAAACGAACTGAATTTATCTGGCACGACATGAGTACGGCCCGACACGGCATGATCCGTATATTTGGGCCATGTCAAGACAAGGTAATTAGGCCTAATGGGCCATGCTAGTCTATAGCCTATCGTGGGCCATGCCGGCACGAAACCTAACGGGTTGGCCCGTTTAAAGCTCATTTAAAATTACATTTATTTTAGAGAAAAGAATAATACATAATATTATTACATTTATATCTTAAATTCAAGTCTATTTATTTTCTCTAAGGCACCAACT